AGCTGTGCACACGGATTAAGGAAACAATTAATTTTACATATTTCCTATATAAAAACACAGTTACCTATACACCTAACCATATTTTAACCAATAGAAAAATTAGTTACATAATAAAATTAATAAATTTTGCATTGAAAACTGAAAACGACACTTATTTTGTAACGCAAAAAATTCTCTACAACGACACTTAATATGAAACGGAGGGAGTAGGTCTTAAAAAAAGCAATTAATCATATCAATAATAACAGATTACCAAACCCATCACATCCAGTCGCTTTAACCACTTGGTACAAATCTGAATCTGACTTTGACTTTGAAGTTTGAACATTACTTCTGTCTTGCTTATTTATATCTGTTTAAATAGGTTATTTAGGTCCATCATGAGCCTTGGTGCATTAAATACTTGGATTTTGCGAAAAAGGGGCATTGAATTAGTCTTGGTTCCATGCCTAAGATCTGATGGTATTTACTGTTTGAGGCTCTAATGTCATCATAGATGCTGTAGCATCACCTGTCCTTCAAATATACTGAATCAACCATACCCTCTGGATCCATCAGAAGGTGAGGCTAGCTACATCTAGACTTCTTCTTGCCTATGTTGCCTCTAGATTTGGATCTGCAAATTTCACTGCCGAGTTTCAGCTTGCTTATTGCGAGCGTTTACTTGCTGAGCTGTGACACACATCACTAATTCACCACTCCTCTCTCTCCACAACTATTCTTTTGTCTCCATTTCTTTCACTTTTTAAAGATTCTTACTTAAAGTGAGCACATCCATTTGCTTTGTTTATTATTTGAATATTTTGGTTTTAGAGTAAATGTCCCATGCATCGTTTGCTATATATGGACTTTAAACACAAACAACGACTATTTCAATGTTAAAAATTCAAATAATGTGTTTGCCGGTAGATTTTTGTTCGGAGCGACATACAGTATATGTTATCGCTTACTATTATTACAAGAGAAATCTTTTCTAAAAGGCCATAAAAGAATACACACATGCGTACAAAGAAAAACAGATACGTTGTGTGTGACTGTGTGTGACTATATTAATCAAGTTTTGATCCCAAAAATGACTAAGAATGACTCGAACACACCACTTGTGAATAAATGCACTAACCAAAACTAAATAATGATAGAAACCTAACATAATTCCCATTTTCTTTGCTTTGGAAATCAAAGCCTTTCGCATACTATGAGTTGTTGGTTAGATTAGATTGGTATGGATGTTGAGTTATTTAATACAGACATATGATAATGTAAGCGTTAGCCAAGTCCTGTTAGATTATGTTTCCTTCCGTTGAACATATGGAAGAAGGGAGCATTAAAACATGTGAGGGTGGGGGCAGGTAAGTGTCCTTTAAACAATAAGCAGTGGGTCTTTGCATTAGGTTTCTGACATCTTACCCATACTTACACCCATATTAATCTTCAAAGATAACAAATATTATCATGAAAAGAGTACCTTTTTGTCCTTTTGTAATCCCTTTAACTGCGACACTCTTAACGGACTTCGGTTAACACGCAGCGTAAATCTCCCACGCGGCGTCACTATTCTTCATGAATACATTAGCAATGAGAATGTACATACTATTTTGCATTATGATTCTTCGATGTGTAACCGGTGATTAAGGTTTTTAATGGTTCAGTAAAGACTATTTTAGCGGTTAGGTGAACGAGGTTAGTTAGTTTGATGGTTTAGTAGCGTTTTTAGATAAACATATTTCTAAATGCTACTAAACTATCAAACTAGCACCATTATCTATGTAGACATGTTTAGATGAACCCATGAGTTGGATGTTGTATTAAATTGGTAGGGCTATGAGTTTACGAACAACGAAAATTTCAAAATATGGCTCTGTATGACTGTATCAAAGGGAACACACCTAACAGAATCTCATGGATTAGCCTTTGTCTTCTGCTGCTCCCTTACGCCCCACTACATGTCACATTCTTTCGTTTTTATTCTATAATATTGTACATATACTAATTTTTATTTTATTTCATTTAACCTCGCTTCTCTCTTCATTATTGTCCTTCCATATAATTTTATATATATACACACATAAATTTTTTGTACCAAGTTCAGCAGAGCCTTATTTTATAGGCATCATCTCAGGTCGGGTCGTACCCCCACCTCTATATAACATTGTTGTCAAACCAACTATTGACCAAAACATTAACTACAGATCACAGTTCACATTTTCCTAAATTTATATCATGTAAAACAAACGTTAGAATTGAATATTATTTTATGATAAGAGTAACTAGATACACTACATGACAACCTCAAAAATGATTAGTTGAAGAGGACCGGCTAGGTTAAGAATTTGGAGAACTAAGTCCGGTAATAGAAACAAAGAAGTAGTGTGATTGTAACCAAAAATACCAATGAGGTTAAGAAAAATGGTAAAATTTAAGACACTATTTAATGGTGGATGTGAAAATAGGTTGGTATACAGAGATCATAGGGGGCTATGAGATTAGATGGGTCATTGTAACTACATTCATCTTTGAAAACTGAGAGAGGTAGACTTTACTGTTTGGTTACCTTTCACGTCATCTCTTTTTGGAAACTCCAAAAACAGTATGAGTTTATGTGTGACTTCGTGATCTGTTCCCACCATTTATCCTCTCTGTCTCTCCACTTCCTTTCATTACTCTCACTTTCTTGTTCATTTCTGTTTCCTCGCTAGCTTATCCTCTTTTAATTACCAAATCACTCCATGTTGCATAACGACCACCAAAATCTCTCTATACCCAACCAGTCCGGACCTAATTAAACAGATGAGAATATACTTGTTAAATACTATTCCTTACGTATCTACAAAATTTATGTTTCGAGTTTCAATTTATTAGTTTTTTTAAAACGTGTGATTAATTATGTTATTACAACGATGACAATTTATTAGTTAAAAAAAGTTTTAATTTATTTATCGTTTTAAGGTAAAATTTTCGTTTCAAAATAAATATCGTTTTATAATCTCAATGTAAATTTTATTACCTTTATATGATATTCTATTTTTCATTGGTTAAAATATGATTAGGTGTATAAGTAATAGTGTTTTTATTATGTAAAATTAAATGTTTTTTTATTCTGTGTATAAAAAAATCAAAATAACAACTAAATTAAAATGGAGGGAGTATGAAACAACTAATATTTACAAATAAATGTTGCTTTTGTTTGTGTTTGTTTCCAATAATATTTGTTATTCATATATATTCTTACACTTTAAATTGTATTTTAATTTTAAACAACATGCATTAGTTAAAATCTAAAATATTAATCATTCAAAAGACAAATTAAAAAAAAAAAACCTAAAAATCATTTCAAATGGGGAGAAAATAGAGTTTTCGCTTCACCATTGGAAAATTAATATAATTGTATATATTTCAGTTATGTTAGTATTATAACAAGAATCTTTATAAAATCTTAGTTATATTTTATTGGAGTATGAAATTGTGGCAATTAGAACTTGGTTAAGGCGCTTAAATTTATAGTTAATTAATCGAATAATATTTAAAATAAATAAAGTATCATCATTCATAAATAATGGATGTTAAAAACATTTTAGATATATTTGAATAAGGTCAATGAAATGAAATTTTAAAATTTTGGCTATATTATATTTGCATTGAATCTCTGTTTATTAGTCCATGAGAATCGTGGCAGACCTCTCGAACTTAACTATTTAAGTATCGGAAGAAAATTTTTAATTCAACTTTGTACTAGATTTTAACCCGCACAATTGAATGTGTATTTGATTTTATTTATATATATACTTACGTCATTATTCATATATCATATCTTTAAATGTTTATATAAAGATTTCAAATACAATAATGCTATAATTTACATGTTATAATTAATCAATTGTCTTAGACCATCATATGTATTTGTTGTTTCTTACTATACATTTATCTAACTGGATTTGTATTTGATTATTAAACTAATCAATTTATGCATGAAACAATATATTTAAAATTAATATATATTTAATTTATATTAAATTCTTATCCACGCTTCAAAGTTGTAAATTAATTTTTAGCAATTTTTTTGTTTATTCATTTTAGATAATACATTTGTATATATAAAAATTTATAAGTATCTTAATTTATATACATGTGTTATATAGTTTAGTATGTTAACCCGTTTTGCTAGCCTAATATATTCTTTTAACATATATATTAATATTATGAAAATAAAACAAAATATATAAGTATATCAAATTAATATAGTTTTATCTTATTTCTTTCAGTATACTGATTTTAATATGATAAATTATTAATAGAAGATAAATAAAAATATATTTGTATTTTTGTTTTATAAATGATAACTGAATACATATATTAATATTATATTATTAATTACGAATTTACATATTTTAAAAAAACTGAGATCTTATAATATCTTTTAAAACAAACTTGTTAGAAGTTTTCAAATATATATATTATATATATATATATTCTATTTCAGATGAAAATATATTAAACGATATTATTATTAAAGTAGTTATATAAATTTATATTATTTATACTAAGAAAACACATTTAAATTTTTAGGGTAGTTCCAATTTAAAATATCACACATAAAATGAGGTTGACTTCTATTTAATAGTGTATATTGTCTTAGAGTATTCTATTTTCTTGTTTTCCTCTAAGCTGAAACCAAAGCAAGCATATTCCCTAAACGTTTGTGATTGTTCGATAAATTCATTGTGCTGTGTTGTACAATGAGAAAAATCCACGTCATGTTAGTGCGACATCACACGCCAAAATCGGGATATGGGGACGCATCACAGTTGAAGAGAAATGACTTCTCTTTTGAATTGAAATGGATCCTATGTTTACCCTTATTGTGCACGTGTTCATCATCTTCGCCATGCGCTAGCCATTACCAATATTATTCTAGCCCAAGGTTTCTGCCAATGCTTCTTTGAACCGAGACGGACTTTAATTTTAAGAACTTGCAGTGTGCTGTATAACTGCATCGACTACGATAATATGAATTCAGATGTATTATTAACATTTGATATGGCAATATCGTTTAAATATTTAATCTGTTAATTAAAACAATCTAAAGTGCTTTTTCTAAGCAAAAAAAAAAGGTATATTTTGTTGGTGTAAAAAATCTAAAATATTTAAGAAGGAAAGCTCATACAAAGATTTTTATATCCTCCATGTTATATTAAATCTTACTCAAACTTATCAAAGAAAAAAAAAAATCTTACTCATGAAGCTACGAGGACTATGTATACATTTGACATGGTGTATTAAGAAATTCAAGATATTGTTTAACGAAACTGTATCAATTAGTATTACCCAGAAAAAAAAACAATTATATAACACTCTAAAATTTACCTGAGCATCCAAATTTTAGGAGTTGTTACTTTCTTGATAGCTTACCACATGTATTTTTTTACTTGTTTATGTATTCATATAAACATTTAAAAACTTTGTTCAAAAAAGCATTTAAAATTTAAAATTTAATATATAAAATTAAACTATTTTGAATCAAAATCAAGCGGCAGTACTTGATTACTAACAAAGATGGATTCACAGAAAACAAAAGAAAAAGCAAGTCGGGAAGCCCCCACAGTGACTGGTTCTTGTCAGTTGCATTGCTAAGTTTTATTTCGCAATTATATAACTCTACATAAAAATGGGAAGAAAATATCAGACTACAATTATCACTAGTGCTGGTTCTGCCAAATAAAGAATCAAATAATGCTGCATAAATTCTATTTTACAAAACTAATTATTTCATATATGCAGTATAAACATGTATTTCAAAGTGATTGGCCGATTTAGAAAAAAATGGAGAAGAGGGGGGGGGGGGGAAGAAATTACGTAGTGCGTTCGGTTAATCTCTGCGCAGAAAGATCGTACTGCATGCACTGCGAGTCTGCGACCCTTTTGAATCTGATATTAATATTTAATGGTTACGTCTGCCAATTTGAGTTTCTGATCAAATACGAAATTGTCTTTATGACAGATTATTTATTTTCTTTTGTTATTGTTCATGTTCTTTAGTCACTCCACACGGTCATATCATATGTATGAGACATTTAGGGTTGAGGGAGTGTTTATTCTTTTTCAATCTTAGGTTTCTCGTTTTCTATATGGAAGAAGCTTAAAATTTGTTAGAATAAAGTTGTTACATTGATTATGCTTAAGTTTTTATATTCGTTTCTCTTAGTTTAATGCAATTTTTTTGTTGTCAAAAAAAAAGTAATATAGGTTAGTAAAACTCATTAGACTGCTAAAAACATCAAAACAGGAAATACATATATATAACAATATATACATATATATATATTGTTATATAGGTTAGTAAAACTCATTAGACTGCTAAAACATTATTTGGTGGGAGGGTTTATAATCACAGTTAATAATTTAATATGTAGTATATAAATTAGAAAACAAAATAGATAGAAGTGGAGATTAATAAAGAAAAATGTTTTTTTTTTGTTTTGTCAGCTGTTTATTTAATTAGATTAAATTTTAACCAGACAAGAAGGTTCTTCAATGAGCATTTCTATTTGACCATGTTCAATCAATATGTGACAAAATAAAATTTATATTTCTAGCTTATTTCACGAGTTGGTCCGTCCAACCATTCTCGCTTCAGCAACTATGAAGCAGGTTCATGCTCTCGGAGTTTTCTTGTAGATTTTGGAACAATCTCTGAAGCAAAAAGCTAGCTAGCCAGTCTATTAAGCTCGTAGTCATATCTACTAATCTGAGTAGTCCGTCTCGAAACGGATTAAGTTTAAGGAAGATGAAATGAGATCGAAAAATAAGTTGTCGGAGGATTTGCTTGTGCTAAGAAGAGACACCTCCCATTCCCCAATGTTAAACCCTCTCTTTTGCCTTCATCCCGTTTTGGTAGTTATAAGACCATGTTTATTGCAGGTCCTTTAAGTTGGATCCCTTAGCGTACGGTCCCTTAGCTTTTAACTGAAAACACTAAGGGACGTCCCTTAAATCCCTTATATAAGGGACGTCCCTTAGCGTTTTCAGTTAAAAGCTAAGGGACTGTACGCTAAGGGACCCAGTGTAAGGGACCTGCAATAATCATGCTCTAAATCCTTTCATCTTATTTGCTTCTCTTTATCCTTTTCATTTTTTTTCACGTATATAAACCAAGCATTGATTAACAGAGGATTAAATTCATCTGAAATCCTTTTCATTTTTCACCTATATTATTAACCAAGCATTGATTAACAGAAAATTAAATTCACCTGAAAAGGTAGGATTTATTTTAATTTTGTCAAATATATTCACATATTATTACTAGTTAGGTCGCCACTTAACTACACTTATAACTAATTTTGTTATGATCCATGATTTTTTCCGTAAAATGGTATCTTACAATACATGAAGATAAAAATCAAAGATGACTTGGACATTGACTTTTATAGTTTTGGAAAATATTTATTTCGTTATAGATATTGAAACTCATTTTTTATACACCCATATGGTAGTATATAATATTTTGAACAGATGAACATACGGACATGTAGAATATAAAATTGTTTACAAATCCTAACTATGTGAGATTTAGTAAATAATTTTTGTAAGAAAAACTTTGGACCTTCTATAAATGTAGGCACACCTGAACAAAGTTTAACAACAGTCCACAGAAAATCGAATATCGATACTACATATGTACTGACTTATTACAGTGGTATCCAAATAATAAGAACGTATAAATGCAAATAACCATGTCGTTTGAATCAGTCCGTGACAACGGTCCATAACCCCTTTTTAACAGTCGTCAGAAAACACGGTCGCGACATGTACATACACGCACATACCTAAAGCCATACGTAACACACACCATATTACATAAAGGATATTATTATATATTTATTATTAAAATATAGATTTCTGACACACATTTACGTACGTGTATCTATAATACGCAAATGCACCGCATAGTCTTTCTCCTCCTTTGATGGTCTTAATCTGACGTGACATCTCCCTCTCTTGTTTCTTTTCCTCTCTCTCCCAAACAGAAACTCCATGTTTACCTCGGAAAATCAACGGCGGATGGATGAGGTCGCCGCCGCGAGGAGAGAAGCTTCTTCTTGGGACTTCCCTTTCAACGACATTAACATTCATCAGCAGCATCGTCGCTGCAACACAAGTCATGAGTTTGGTATCTTGAAGAGTTCTCTTGGAGATAACGTGGAAGAGAGTAATAATCGTAACCCTAATTATAGTAACTGCGAGAGCGGTAAGAAGGAGACGACAGATAGTGGACAGTCTTGGTCTTCCTCATCTCCAAAACCATCGGTCTTGGGGAGAGGTCACTGGAGACCAGCTGAAGATGCTAAACTTAAAGAGCTTGTCGCCATTTACGGTCCACAAAATTGGAACCTCATAGCTGAAAAACTCCAAGGAAGATCTGGTAATTTATTATATCAAATATTTTATTATGGTTTTTTCTTTCAAAATTTCATAAAAGTAATGTTTTTGGTCCATCTGAGTCAGTCAAAGATGTGAGGTTTATTTAAGATCTGGTAACACAATCAAATCTTAGAAAAAATAATAATTTATGGGTCTTCTTGCTAATGAAGTAAGAATGTGACCTTTAGTAACTTGATTTTGATTTTTTGGTGATTTTGATTTTTTGGTTAAAAAGGGAAGAGCTGTAGGCTACGGTGGTTTAATCAATTAGACCCGAGGATAAACAGAAGAGCTTTCACGGAGGAAGAAGAATTGAGGCTTATGCAAGCACATAGGCTTTATGGTAACAAATGGGCAATGATTGCGAGGCTATTTCCTGGTAGGACTGATAACTCTGTCAAGAACCATTGGCATGTTATCATGGCTCGTAGGTATAGAGAACACTCCTCTGCTTACCGTAGGAGGAAACTCGTGATTGATAATGCACGTAATCCTTATCTTCCTAATCATCCTAACCCTAACCCTAATTACCAGTCTATTATCTCCACTCATCATTACTTTACTCAGCCTTTCCAAGAGTTTAATTTGACTCATGCGTCTATCACGCCTGAACATAACCAGCTTGTGTTACCTATCCACTGTTTCCAAGGTGCTTAATTGCTCTTCTTTCTCTCATCAGTTTGTTTCATTATCTTTCTCGGTTGCATATTTTGATATTTTGGTGTGGTTTTTGTTTTTGGTGGGTTACTATAACGTTCAGGTTATGAGAGCAATGAGACTCCAATGGTTGTGAGTATGTTTAGCAACCAAATTATGGGCGGCGATAATGCTGGTGCCATGTCAGAAGGGTTATATAATTTTCCGTACGTTGACTCTACGAGCCACGAGAAAGAAGTGCCAAATGACCCAATGAGCTGGATTGGAATGGAAGTTGAAGATGAGGAGGTGATGGAGAAGGCAAAGCAGCAACCACGTTTTTTCGATTTTCTTGGCTTGGGGACGGCATAAAACTTGAACAAAGTGGTGTAATAATGAGTTGATTATTAATTTGGTTAGGAAAAAGCAAGAAGTGTTATTTATCTTTTTACTATCTAGAAAGCAAACAAACTAAGATCCAAGTCTTTGTGTCTGCGTTAACTATTGAAGTGTAGAAGTTGTTGTGTTTGGTCGTCTAATGTATAACATTTGATAAAATCTCGGTATTATAATAACTCTTTGGAGATTTTAAAGAAAAGGTAAAAAAAAATGGAGATGAAAAGACGTAAAATATGCGTAACTAAGAGATGAGGAAGTGCCAAAGATTTGAGGCAGAGATTGTGCAACAGAAAGGCCAAACATGAAACATGCTAACCAAATCTCACACACACATTGCATTTGTTTCTTCCTTCCAAACCGTTTATCCTACTCTTCAATCTTCTTGTTACCTATGTCTCTCTCTCATGTCATGCGGACCCACATGCCTACTATTTTCTTATATTTTTATATTTCATGTTGTATATATAAAAGAATACTTATATATTTCTCGTAATAAACTTAGTTTTGGTTTTGAATTGTTATTTTAGTACTTCCTCAATGGTTTATGTTTTTAAGAAAATGAATTTCAAAATGATAAATAGTTAATCACAACAAAAATAGATTTATAATCAAAACATAATATTTTTTAATTAAAATTTTAAAACATACATCATTTTAAAAGCGAGGTAGGTTATCATCGTTTTAAAAAGTCATACTCATTAAGGTAATTTATCTTTTGACACTTTAATAGGAATTTTATATTTGAAGATTATATTAGTTCATTATATCAAGTATATTAAAAGCTTGACAGTACCTAATAATATTGATCTGTTTCAACCAAAAACCTAAAAGTTAATAGAGACGACTAAGAATATATATATTTCCATCTGTAACCTACAAATTCTTTTCTGAAATTCTGCTTCAAAACGTTGTCTTCGTTTAGAAATCTGTCATCCACCAGTGTAATTTCAGACATTCTCACCAATAATCATGTTGTGAGTGATCATTAACAAATTGGGCTCACGTGAGGGAGCGAACACAGAACGCTTGCAAAAGTTCCTCGCCGAAACAATAAGGTTTAGAATTCGTGATTTACGAACCCCGTTCTGGAGTTTCATAGGCCCATTGGGCTCAAACCATACAAGAGCTATTCATTTCCTAGACTTTTTTGTTGGCTTTTTTTGGTTTAGCTTAATTCTAAGTATTTCTTGCTAAAGGAAAAAGGCTATATTTCTCCTAGGGCTGGGCAAAAAACCCGGATCCGAAAAACCGAACCGAACCCGACCCGAAAAAGTAGTATCGAACCCGAACCGAAATTGATTCAGTATCCGAATGGATTCAAAATTTTGGTATTTAAAGAACCGAAACCGAACCCGACCCGAACCGAAGTATTTAGGGTACCCGAATATATCCGAAAGAGATTTATATACCTATATATTTTAATTATTTTAGATTTAATATATATAAAAAACATTCAGTATATATATAAAATACTTTGAAGTTATTCAAAATAGTTGTAAATAGTCAAACATACATGTCTAAAATTGCTAAAGTACACTCAAAACATCAAAAATACTTAAAAAAAAATTTTGATTCACAATCCAAATATTCAAATCAAACTATTTTATATGTTAATTTTAGATATTTTAACTTATGTTATTCAATTATTTGTAATATATTAATTTGTTTATAATTTTTTAGAAATTTAAAGTATATAATCAATTTTGAAATTTTAAAAAGAATTTAAATGGGTTATCCGAACCCGAACCCGAACCGAACCCGCAAAGATCCGAACCGAACCCGAACCGAAATTTATAAATATCCGAATGGGGCTAAAATTTGTGAATCCGAAAACCCAAAACCCGAATAGATCCGAACCGAACCCGAATGGGTACCCGAACGCCCACCCCTAATTTCTCCTTTGATATGAAGAGTGGAATGTTTGCATGGATGGAAAGTTAGAAAGTAGTGGAGATACAAAATGACATTAGAAAGAAAATGATCTAAATGTATTTTCTTTTTTCCTTTAGATACCTTTCTTTTACAAAGAAAGAGACTTTATGGCTATGCTTCCCTCTTAGCTTTTCTTCTATGACAACTAGATGAATTATATAACCAAAACACAGATAAGATGCTCTGCTTTTTCTCCTCTACATAATAGACATACTCATCTTTTCTTTATTCTTCTTTTGAGTTATTCTATACTCTAGGACTAGTAATGAAATAAAGGTTATCTTAGAACCACATGTACCAGAGAAGAAGACACCATAACTTCAGCTGGTCAGCATATCCATCTGTTAGGGTAATGCACAAAAAGGATTACCGTGCCTTATAAATAAGATGCATATTAATATTTATCTTCAGATTTTTCACACAAATAAAAAATATCCACATTTTCCCTTCTTCTACAAGGTAGCAAAATACACTGTAAATCTCTCTTCATGAATAAACACATGTACAATTATTCTATTTTAGTATATGTCTGAACTCTAACGTTACATGCTCTCCCTGAAGTTCATAGATCTCGCCTTAGCTGCATGGTTTGCTTGCAGGGTAAGACGTTTCAAGGAAGAATCTATTGTTGTTGCTCTTTGCTGTAGATCCATCAATGAAAAAGCTGAGATTCTCTGTTACATAATTGTCTTTGCTCTCTAACATTCTCATGTGAAGCTTCGTCTCTTGTCCTTTTTCCTAGACATGTGGAAGTCTCTAGAGTAGAAGAAACTGGTACCGTGTAACCCCAGTAGACGGGGATGTGGTAGAAACTAGGGTTAGGAGAGTACAGATAAGGCCAAGGAGGGGAAACAGAGGATGTTACTTGTGGAGGAAGAAACCCTTGAAACTTGTTGAAATCTTGGGAAATAGAATGGGCCGTTGTTTTTGCATCGCTTGATTGATGCTTAGCACAAGATTCTGAAGAGTCAAAGCTGAGAATCTTAGTCGAGGAGCTATTGTAATCGTTATTGTAGTCATTACTATTATTCTTGGAACTGATGTGCTTGTAATGGTCTGTGGAAACCCATCCTTTGTTCTTGCGGCGGCCTGAACCGACCGGGACGGTCCTCATGGATCCACCGGAAGTCCAGTACCTCTGGCAGTTTCTGCAGAAGTGACGTGGCTGGCTAACGTTGTAGTTGTTGTAGTAACAGAACTTGGTGTCTGCGCTGTTGCATCTGGGACACGGAAGAATCTTGTCTGGTTTCTTAAGTTCAGTTGTTTTCTCTTCCGATGTTGTAGTTGTTGTTGTTGTGATCTCGCTGTGTTGGTCATCGCTGTTCTCAGATGTTTCTTTGGACTCTTTGTGAAGACTTGTGTTGTCTTGTTCACTGTTATCAGTAGATGATTGGTTGTTCATCTGAAAATTTTGAGGAACTTGGATTAAACTAGTTTCTAACTGATAAAGGTTCTAAAAAAATTATTCAATTTTTTTAGCATTTTCTTGGGAATTTAGATTAACTCCTTAAGCCTTAAACAAAGAACAATGAATACATTTTTCTCTCTGGTTTCCTCGTCATTTTCATTAATCATGTGAATGAATAATTACAAATCTTAAAACATATATTTTCAGCACACTATACAAGCAAAAGCTTTAACGTTACATAATGGTATCAAGACACATTAATTCATTTCTAAGCATCTAAGAACAATTGAAAAACTTGTTCATATTCAACTTGGAAACATACCATGTGTAGTCCAAGAGAGAGACAAGAAGATGAGGAAGAACTCTCCATGCCGTGGAGAACAGGGGACAAAGAAGATGTAATTGTCCACCCAAACAATTTTATAGGAGTATCTCTAAGTTCTGACATACTAATATTTGCAGAGTATTAGGACAGAGAAGAGAAGAAAGGTAAGCTCAGATTAGACTTGATGGTATGTGTGTTGTTCTTTAACAGAAGATGTGAGACAAGAGTATATATATGTATTAGAAGTATGGGGTTGGTATTAATGGATCGCACAGAGCCACACAGGGAGAAAAGAGTGGGGACATGTAGAGATGGGAGAGCCACATGTTGTTGCAATAAAAGTGAGCTTTTTTGCAATCTTTTTCAGCTCTTTTTGATATCTCTTTCTGTGCCACTCAAAAGATTTAGTTCCTTTGCCACGTCAAATTGTTTGGTTATTAAAACGGGAAAGTTGTTTTGGTGTCCTTGGAAATATTCGTGTAATACATATAGGATGATGATACAGCAATGCAATATGGGGTGGGTATGGATCAAATACTACCATAGTTTTTAATATTTGTGATTTGTTTTATATTTTATAATATCTAATATTTCAATTTGTGGATATCCAACTAATGTCCATAAATTTTACTGTTATTTATGAATATTTAACGATATTTAAAGATAACTTATCAGTTTTATCTAACACACGCAAATATATAAAAAAACTATACAAATTTATTTTAAAAATATTTTTTACAAAATATAAATAAAAATTAAAGATTAGTGAAACTACATGTAGTTAAAAATTGAAAAGAAAAAAATACAAAATATTTAAAATAAAAATATTGAATTATAAAATATAAAATTTTAGAAACATTATAGTCTTATAAAGATTTGTGTTTCTTGCTTAGTTTAATAATTGTATGTAATTTTATAATTAAAATTATATGTAAATATAATAATCATATAAAGTTATATCTATTTTTTTAGTATTTGTGAATTATTTTATTTTTAGTGAATATGTATTTTAAATATTTATTTTATTTCGAAAATTTGAAATTTGTAGATATTTTGGATCGAATCGAAACAAATTACAAATTTTATTTAAATCAAAATTAACTGATAAATGTTTTTTTTGGGATAAAATGTTTAGTCACAACGCAATACAATAACGTGGCACTATGCGACCTTTTATTTCTAACCACGTCCGCTGTACATGGCCTGTGTGAACTCTCAAGTATGTGGTGTACCATAATATCACCGATGAATATTTACCATCCATATGTCTGATTCTTATATCTTTTCAAAGCATAAGTGCGTATAAATTCTGAGCCGGTATATAGGAGTCCAACATTATACGATTTATGATTCGAGTTTTTTTCGAGTATATAGGTGCCTCTTCCGACTCTTAACATTATATGATTCATGATTCCGATCGACTATATCTGTAGTTCGAGCTTTCAAAATGGATGGCTTTGCACTCTCTTCAAATACTCAAGATTGCTTCTTATAGGTCCTGGATAACCTTTTATGTATTGGATCCATCTTTCTCCTCATCATGAATCAAGAATCTCTTTACATGCAGCATCCATCCACCTAAGCCATGGCCCATCATGACACATATATGTTTTACAAACCAGTAAAACACATCCATGGTATCCTCAACAAACCGTCACTTCATTTTCGTGTTAATAACATTTCTAATTATCCTCAGAGCTTCGTTATCATTTGGATACTCTGTCGATGGAGTCATGGAGATGTGCCGTTCTTACCAAAACATGTAGTGATCACTAACAAATTGGCCACACGTCAAGGAATGGTCTTGTTGCACCTGTAGGAACGAAGGGAAAGATCTAGCTAGGCTTTAAAGCGACCCTAGCTGACGACAGTTTTGATTTCAGGTTTCATCTCAATCTACGCGGAACAGCCGTGTATACTTGCACTTTCTCGTGGCCTGGAAACGTTAAGACATTTGACATCTTTAGAGCTGATAGAGACGGTAATGGAAGAAGTACGTGTGGTGTACGTACGCAGAGAATGTATTTGGCATATATCTGAGTCAAGTCCATGTCGTATTAGACGCGATGGAGGCTCTCCTTACTGTTTTCCTTGGGCCTCTTAATCATATCAAACTATCTATTGTATCTTTCTTTCATATCAATTTTATTTTCTTACGCATGTTGAATTAGTGGAATAAATAAACAAGTTTTCTATATAAATATATTTTTGTTACTTTTCTCTTTTAATAATTGGTATATCTTTTCATATATATATTTTAAACTTGTATGTCTTTACATATAAACCTGAAAGTTTATAATGTATATTTATGTTCTTTCTAAATCCGAAACAAGTGTTGATAATATTCGTGGTGGATCTATAAGGCTCTTTCAAAAATCAAGAAGGGTTCAAGATAAAAGAACAAAAAATTATAAAGAGACATTGTAGATCCACCACAAATATTGATACGAACAACACCGTCAAGGATTTTAAACCGGGATGGAGCTTCATCCGAGATGAATGTTTGGTACTTTGTATACAGATGAACTATCACTCATTATTTAATTTCTAACGCAAAAAAAAAATAAACTTCGAAAACATTCAACAATGAAGTGCACAAAGCAACTAGGAGATAATTCTCAAAGTGGATAAAACTTTAGCAGAGTGTTTGGGTGCCTCTCTTTCCCTGTCATTGGATCATCGTAGTGGTCATTTACAGACCATGCATATATACTTTTTAAATACATTATTTTCTAAATGGTTTTCTTTAACAGTTGTATGGTATATGATCGGTTCACTTTCTTTGCGTGGATGTCTTTGAAGAAAAACAAGGTAGAGCGTGTTTCTTCTTTTAAAAGGTATCTATGATGCTATTTTCGTGTAAAGTTATTTCATCGTTACATTCTTTGATTCTCCTTTTACTTAAAGAGTAGACAAAACTTCAAAACTCCTCCAATCATAATTAACGTTATTATTATGTTCTATATGCTGTTCTGAGCAATAAACATCCATCATGATTTCCCAATTTAGTTAAATTAACCATTTTAATTACTATAAGAAGTATTTTTGTTTTTTTAAATCATAATTACTTGTGTTACTTAGAGAACAAAATAAAGTATATTAAAGATCTTTCCACTTTCCAAAAAAAAATCAATTAAAGAACATTAAAACTAGATTTCCTTTGAATACGGAGTACTAATGAACATGTTTAGATTATACACATTTATTGATAAAAAAAGAAGATTTTATACATTTATTGATAAAACGATAATACACATTTACTTGTGCTTACGTCGATATATATAACCTACCGATTTTAACTAAAGAATGTTATTACATAATCCCTCCGTTTCATATTAAGTGTCGTTATAGATTTTTTTTCGTTACAAAATAAATGTTATTTTTGATTTCGAAGATAAAAATTTTTATTATGTAATTTGTTTTTCTATTGGTTAAAATGTGGTTAGGTGTATAAGTAATTGTAATTTTATATAAAAATATGTGAAATTAATTGTTTCCTTAATCCATGTGTACAATTCTATAAATGACACTTATAATGAAACAGAATGAATATATAAATACTCATTTCCAAATAAAGAAGAATATGATCATTTCACGAACAAATTCTTTAAACCCGTCAATGGAAATCACTCGTCCACCGATGGGGTTTTACCGTTCGCACCTAAACATGTTGTAGTTGTTAACAAATTAACCATGCATCCAAAGTTGATCGCGCATTGCACGAAAAAAAAGATAGATCTAGGGGTAAAAGAGCTCGCACCTGGAGCTAGCTTTGATTTCAGGTTTCATGTAATCTGCATAAAACGACGAGGTACATTTGCACTTTCGAGTGGACCGGAAATAAGGTAACATTTGATATTTTCAGGTAGATAGAGATGACAATCCAAAAAGTGAATTTGGAGTTTGTAGAGAATGCATTTGGTACATTTATGAACCAGCCCCTTGTCGTCTTAACCGCGCTGGAGGCCTCTCTAATTGCTTTAGTTGGAATTCTTACGCTATCCATACTGAGAGATTTCACTAAAAATAATGCTAATATTTTAATAGAAACTGTTTTCTAAGGCTTGAAAAATCTATGTGAAACTCTTTTTTTCCTGTGGTTTATAATAACAACAAACTAAATACAAAGTGGCTATTTTTTTAATTAAAAAATATATTTGGCTATTATTGTTACATGTTATGCTTATAACCATGAAAATTCAGAGATCAAGTAATATGATTCCACACAAAGAAAAATATTATACATCCACTTCGAAAAAAGTCTGTACATACGGATCATAGATCAGCTTGAGCAGAATCAATCTTGAGGAAGAAATAAACTATAGCCAAATCTCAGATCCTGATCTAACACCAGAGGCTGGAGGAGCTTTAGCTCACCAGTCAAGGCGACATTTCATTTTATCAAGAAGTTAGAATCCTTCAGGTCCTTTAGTCCATTTTCATATCCTATTAATAATATTATTCGGTTGAAATGACTATAGAGAAGTGTGGATACACATACACGTTAACTTAAGTGTCCATTAGGATATATGTTGTGTAAAGAACTATATAATAGACCATAACCTAGTAAGTGTACAAACTCTATATTATCTGAACTTGGGGCACCATAGATTCTGTCTAAACACTTCAAGTCAAAGAAGAAAAAGTTACACAAAAATTCAAAAAAATAAAATAAAAATATATAAAAAAGCGGTGTAAAATCCGGAGGTATTCAAGGAAAGGGAAACAAATAGTCAAATACGAAAACGTAAAATGCGAAAAAGTAAAAAAAAAATAAAATAAAACAAAATAGAAAGAGGAAAGGGTCAAGAGAGCATATATTCCCTTCTCCAACATAACCCCACTCAGGTTTCCAGATATGGTGTTAGAATAAGATTTATAAAGACGAAGAAAAAAAATAAAGAGAAGGCTCCAACAACTACTTGTAAAGTATAATCTCCATATCTGTGCCAACAAACCCAATCTTATTGAACTATTCTTGATTGTTAATTATTACAGAAGATGGATAATGATAAGAATCACAAGGCAGAGGAATCTAAACCGAGATTGAGATGGAGTTATGAGCTTCATCAAAGATTCATCGACGCCGTTAATCAACTTGGGGGACCAAACAGTTCTGTTTCAGCTCTCTTTGTCCTTTTGAAACCTTGTCAAGTTTGGGTGGTTAGGTCTTACTTACTTGTTAGTTTTTCATTTTTGTTTTGTTATGTGGTGGTTTTAGAGGCGACGCCTAAGGCCTTGATGAGGGTTCTTGAGATTCCTGAGCTCACTTTGTACCATCTCAAGAGTCATTTACAGGTAGTTTTTTTTGACAAACTTCCATTGATTATAATTTCTTGAAATTTACAAACTCTAAATTGGCTGATTATTGTTCTATTTCTTTTAACTCTTCAGAAATACCGGCTCGGGATAAGCGAGACGTTCATTGGTAACAAGCAAGATGGTTAGACATTCTTTGATTACTGATGATGTTTTATTTGTTACTAGTCTCTAGATTTATTAATGCTGTTCAGAGAGTTTAATCTAATCTTAATCCTTGGTTATTGATGATGTATTATTCTTATGTTACTTTCTTCAGCTGCAAAGTTCCAAGAAAGTCAGAGTCAAAAAGATTTTGGAGATCAACTAGACAATATTGTCACGAAAGAAAAAGATGACGAACCTAACAAGTAATGATCATCATCAAAGAAATAACATTATATTTTCATTTCATAGCTAGAGTTCAAACTCTTTGAAATCATTTTCTTCCTTTGCATAATAGCAGAAACTTGCAAACCAAGGAAGCGATTCACGAACAAATCGAAGTAAAATCATTTACGCTTCTAAGTGTATCACAATGTGTACAGTAAGATATTTCTTGATTTAGAAACTTTAACGTTTCTACTTTTGTTTTACGTGCAGAGAAAGTTACAGGTCAGGATAGAGGCACAAGGGAAATATTTACAGTCAGTGATAATGAAAGCTCAAGAAACTCTCTCCCGTTACAAATCTCCAAATCTCTATGGAGTAGCATCGACGGCCAATAGAAGCTGTATCAGTTCTTCTTTCTCAGGACTAACGCAAGCAGAAGAAGATGACGAGGTTGAGGAAGAACATGATTTCTTGGGTCCCAAGAATCCAGAGAACAGAGGAATTGAACCGACGAGAAGTTCAGTGAACAGCTCGCTGGCATCATCAAAAACCTCAGAAGCAGAAAATGATCTTTATTCTCAGACCATTATGAGGAGATCAAACAAGGTTCAGTTTATGGAGATCAAACCAGAGGAAGTGATGGAGCGGAAGAAGAGAAAGCTTGAAGACAAACTATCCGGGAGAGAGCCTTTAGAGGCCACGACGGTGAGAACTTGGCTCTGAGTTTAAAGGTCATGGAAACATGTTCCAAGTCCAAGTCCTGAGTTACTAAGTTACAAGAAACCTGAGTCTTTTAATAAGATATGTTAAAATATACATCGTGTCTATGCATTATCCGTCCTATATATATATATATTATATCGATTCTTGTGGGTGAGAATGCAGTCGAAAACTAAAAGACTTCTTCAAAACCCTAACTTAAATACATGAAATTCAAGAAACGAGAACCCAAGTCTTTATGTTAAGAAAAAGAAGGAACCAAAAGAAAAAGGGTACAAGGTTTTTTACAAAAAGCTTCTTCTAAACTCTAATTATTGAAACAAGAACACATCATGTGCCACCAGATCCAGTAGTGTTACCACCATCACTGTTTCAACCATCATGACCAGAAGAATCTCTACCAAACATAACCCAAATCTCTCCCCCATCGCTTCTTTTCTTCTCAACCTCATCTCCCTCAACAGGCATCTCGTACCTACAAACAGGACACGACCCATGAAACCCTAACCATTTCTCTATACATCCACCATGAAACCTATGCTTACACGGCATCTCCTTCACCCTCTCCTCCTCCTCTTTCCATTGCTCTAAACATATAACACACTCTCCTTCGCAGCCGTCGATATCAACGCTCGGCATCGCATCGATGGAAGCCTTGGACGCTGGAGGATGACCTTCCTCGCGTGACTCAAGTAAGTCGTGAAGCAGAGGATTTAACCCTGAGGACTCCTCGAGAACGATCATTCCCTGTGTAAAAGGGTTGACTAGAATGATTCTCTCACGCCACGAAGGGACGTTATCGTCTCCATGTGAGGATTCTTGATTAGAGAAGCCTAAGAGTAAAGGCAAGAAGAGATGAAAATCTCTGTTCCTTAGAAATCTTCCTGAATCAGTTGAAGTATCTATTCCAACTTCAGCTTCTTGTTCTGTCGCCATCACAAACAAAAGAAAGAGATCTAAGATATTTTTTTTTCTGAAATAATTATGAACCGGGACTAAACGTTATAAGTTGTGAGACAATGATTGATCTTTTCGAGATGTTTATCCATTAGCTGCACCTACGTCACACTTTATGCTTTGTCGGAAGAGTGACAATGTCTGAATTCTCCTTATACCGGAGATACTTAAAAGCCAACGAAGGGTCTTTTTGGTATTTGGTATCTAACATTCGATGTGTTGGACGTATTTAAACATATGCACGGTGGATATGAGCCTTTACTTGATTCGACACGAGTCACTCTGAAATACTATAGAGTATAGTATGGTCCTATGACTCCATACCACGTGTCGAATAAAAAGACGTCTAATGATACAACTAAACTACTACATATCAAATCTACTTTATGCTAACAAACCAAATTTGAACCATATTATCTTTATTGACCTGTGAACGCAGACGTGAACCAAAGCGGAAGCTGAACAAAAACCATGTGCGTTTACGTTTCTGAGTTTTACCAAACGCAGCAACATAGAGAGCGTTTGGTTTCTTGGTAAGCAAGTCATCTCTGTAGGGTTTGGTAATGAGCAACCACATAACCGTCTTTAATCCATTACTAATGATCCTTCCTTCATCTCGTAATGAGGCTCCAGTCATACAAGACAACCCAACTGTGAGGGGAAAACAAACCAAGCGTACGTATTTCCCAATCATAAAAAGAGCTTTCTACGGTTCACTAGACCATTTGTATAAGTATGCTTTGTTATAGACATCCACGCAAGCCAACCGCCATCAGTAAACTTCCATATCAATAGATGAAGTAGACATGTGCATTCACGTTTCATATGTCACGCTTTTTATATACCAAAACATACAAGAGAGAAATAGAAACAAAATCAGCATTGAGTTACCAATTGGTGGGTCATTCAGTTAACGAAACCATGACTATGCTTTGATTTCCAGGCTAATGATATCTGCTAATTAGACTTCATGTGGTTCACACAGCTGAAAGGGTGTGGAACATAAGAAATAAATGTACCTGCTTGTATTTCCAGGCTATATATCTTCTCCTTTTTTTTTTTCATTTCTGTAAATTTTCTTTATCTCTAAATCTAATCCTATCAGTCTATCACTTGATGTTTATACACGTTGTAATTGTCATACTGTCTTCTTCCTTTTTGTTGTTGCTTTGAAATTGAAGATTGGTTTTAATGATCTCGTGATCCCTTCTAGTTTTTAGTTGCTTGGTCAGATTCATGTTTGATCTATAGACACGAACATACAATATATCATCATTTGATTTGGCAAGAAAAACATTAATTCCAAACCTCAAATGTTCCTTCACAATCTATTCACACAGTCAAGTTGTCATTGATAAGAAAAATGCATATTCTCCTTGAACACTTTTAATATTTGAGGATAGGAAAACAATGGTTAGAATAGAGACTTTTTTTATAAAGAGAAATCGATCAATAAAATTTGCAAGATAAATCACACTATAACCATATATTAATATATATTTTCCATTTCAAATTAATACATTTTCCCTTTAAAAAAATGAATTCAGGGGTTTAGTTTGTATATGAGATGCAAATTCTCTTTCATTTAACCAACATGATATATAAACATATTAATAGGAATTATATATAATCAACATGTCAAAAGGTCAAAAAAACATACAAAATGTAACATTGCTGAGCAAAAAAAAAAGTTCATAATAATGAATGGTTGGGAAACCCACGAGCAGAGACGGAGAGTCCACTTCTATTATTCTGCCTTCTACTCCTATCCTTCCTATCAAAAATCTTAAACAAAACCTCCTCCTTCGAATCCCTTCTCCTATATGATCCCATCCATCTCTCTACACAGACAAAACAAAACAAAAAAAATATCCATTCCCGTCCTTCAACTTTTCCTTATTCTCTTATTTTCCCCCAAATCTCTTCGCGCAAGCCAAGAACTCATCCCAAACCCTAATCCGATCGTCTCCCCTTCCCCGATCCCCTCCGGTAAGTCTCCCATCTCCTCGATCTATTCGATTTTGATTGTTTCCGTTAGCTTTTCGAATTTTTGATTGCCTCGGATTCTCCAGGCGATATGAGTAATCAGAAGAAGAGGAATTTCCAGATTGAGGCGTTCAAGCACCGCGTCGTCGTGGATCCAAAGTACGCCGATAAAACGTGGCAGATTCTCGAACGCGCGATCCATCAGATTTACAATCAAGACGCGAGCGGTCTCAGCTTCGAAGAGCTTTACAGGTAGAAGAATCTGTAACTGTAGATTTTTTTTTTCGAATTTTTTTTGGAATGAATCTGATTGAAATCTTTGTGGCGGCTTCTCAGAAACGCGTACAACATGGTTCTCCACAAGTTCGGTGAGAAGCTCTACACGGGATTCATCGCCACCATGACAGGTCATCTCAAGGAGAAGGCGAAGATCATTGAATCAGCTCAGGGAGGAGCGTTTTTGGAAGAGCTTAACAAGAAGTGGAATGAGCATAACAAGGCTTTGGAGATGATAAGGGATATTCTCATGTATATGGATAGGACTTACATTGAGAGTACTAAGAAGCCTCATGTTCATCCCATGGGGCTTATTTTGTGGAAGGACAACGTTGTGCATTCGCCTAAGATACATAAGAGGCTTCTCAACACGCTTCTTGATCTTGTTCAGAAGGAGAGGGTTGGTGAGGTTATTGACAGGGGGTTGGTGAGGAATGTGACTAAGATGTTTATGGACTTGGGGGAAGGTGTTTATCAGGAGGATTTCGAGAAGCCTTTTTTGGAGGCTTCTTCTGAGTTTTACAAGGTTGAGTCGATGGAGTTTATTGAGGCTTGTGATTGTGGGGATTATTTGAAGAAGGCTGAGAAGCGTTTGACTGAGGAGATTGATAGGGTGGGGCATTACTTGGATGGTAAGAGTGAGGATAAGATTACTAGTGTGGTTGAGAGGGAGATGATTGCTAATCATATGCAGAGGCTGGTTCATATGGAGAATTCTGGTCTTGTTAATATGCTGTTGAATGATAAGTATGAGGATTTGGGTAGGATGTATAACTTGTTCCGTAGGGTTACTAATGGTCTTGCTACCGTGAGAGATGTTATGACCTCGCATCTGAGGGAGATGGGGAAGCAACTGGTTACTGATCCGGAGAAGTCGAAGGATCCGGTTGAGTTTGTGCAGCGTTTATTGGATGAGAGGGATAAGTATGATAAGATCATCAGCACTGCGTTTGGGAACGATAAAACGTTTCAGAACGCTTTGAATTCTTCGTTTGAGTATTTCATCAACTTGAATACTCGTTCTCCTGAGTTCATCTCCTTGTTCGTTGATGACAAGCTAAGAAAAGGGCTCAAGGGTATCGCCGATGTGGATGTGGAGGTCATCCTTGATAAAGTGATGATGCTGTTCCGCTACTTGCAAGAGAAAGATGTGTTTGAGAAGTACTACAAGCAGCATGTGGCTAAAAGGCTTCTCTCTGGGAAAACAGTGTCGGATGATGCAGAGAGGAGTTTGATAGTGAAACTGAAAACAGAATGTGGGTATCAGTTTACTTCAAAGTTAGAAGGTATGTTCACTGACATGAAGACTTCAGAGGACACAATGCGAGGGTTTTACAGCAGCCACCCTGAGCTTTCAGAAGGACCAACACTCATCGTTCAAGTTCTCACAACTGGTTCTTGGCCTACACAGCCTGCAGTGCCTTGTAATCTCCCAGCTGAAGTTTCGGTTCTCTGTGAGAAGTTCCGTTCTTATTACCTTGGAACCCATACCGGTAGAAGATTGTCATGGCAGACTAACATGGGCACAGCTGATATCAAAGCCGTATTTGGGAAAGGTCAGAAACATGAACTAAACGTGTCTACTTTCCAGATGTGTGTCCTCATGCTGTTCAACAACTCTGACCGACTCAGCTACAAGGAGATCGAACAGGCTACTGAGATCCCAGCACCTGAACTCAAACGTTGCTTGCAGTCCCTCGCGTGTGTTAAAGGCAAAAACGTGATAAAGAAAGAACCAATGAGCAAAGACATAGGAGAGGATGATTTGTTTGTGGTGAACGACAAGTTCACGAGCAAGTTCTACAAAGTGAAGATAGGAACAGTGGTGGCGCAGAAGGAGACAGAACCGGAGAAGCAAGAGACGAGACAGAGAGTGGAGGAAGACAGGAAGCCTCAGATTGAAGCGGCTATAGTGAGGATCATGAAGTCGAGGAAGATACTGGACCACAACAACATAATAGCAGAAGTGACGAAACAGTTGCAGCCACGGTTCTTGGCTAACCCAACGGAGATAAAGAAGAGGATCGAAAGTCTTATTGAACGTGATTTCTTGGAAAGGGATAATACGGACAGGAAACTTTACCGCTATTTAGCTTGATAAGTGTTGTATACCGCAACAACAACAACGACAAAAATGCTTCCTCTTTGTTTTATTTTGCTTTGTTTTTATTTAATGTTGGTGTAAAAGGGAACGAACAGTGTGTTGATGGCGTTAGTCAAATATACATTTGTTGCCTTTTCTTTGTGTTTTATTTTGGATATTGATTCATTTACAGACATGTTTACTAAGCTCTAAAGACATGTTTATTATAAAAATAGGATGTTATATTGGGCGAACCACGGCTTTAGGGAACCCATTTACGAGAAGCTTGAGGTATTGTTCCACAAAAAAAGGTTAGAGAATGGATGGATCTGCTAACTGTAAGTGTAAGTGCAAACAATAATTTCTGAATTTATTCGAATTAATAGTAACCTTGTCAGCTCGCTATTTGATGATTAATTCTTTCAATCATTTTTTTTTTGTATAATCAACTAAAATTCAATGTATGATTCTGGTAATGATTGAAAAATAAACATATCAATTATAAATAACAGAAAAACTGAATTGAATACTCATTTCCCTTCATTCTTACACTTTTATTCAGCTGCTTTTAAGGTAGACATGTTTATGATATGGGCCGAACCAAGACCTTATAAGCCCATTTATGAGCGGCTTGAGCGAAGACGAAATTTTCAAGCGCGGCTAAAATTTTAGTTAGTCCCGCCAAACGTTGGCAACCTTTTTATCCTCTTTTTTTAAGTCGCAATTCTCAATTCTCATTTCCATTGACATCTCTTGAAAATATCTCACTCTCGGATCTTCTTGTCTTTTTAATTTTTTTTAATCTCAACAATCACCGGCAATAAAAGATATATGGATATCTCCAACATAGCTAGAAAGCTTGATCTCTCTAACAACAATCTAGTTGTCCGAAAAGCTGCAGAGATTCGCCGTCTTTGCGATGCTCAATTCGATTCATCCATCATCGGCGTTGTAAGTAGTCATTCGAATACGGAATCTACAACTTGATTCGATCATTACTTTTGATTAATTGTTTTTTTTTTTAATTTGTTTGTATCTATCTGCAGGGTGAGATCTGTAAAACTGTGATATGTCTCGAAATCGCAGCGTCTCGGTAATGTCGCTAATTGATAATTCAGTTTTGCGTTGTGGGTAACTGAAGTAGCTTACTTAACTTAGCTCGCACGGATATCTATTACAGGTTGCAGGTTATTTTCGACAGACCAGCAGCGGTTAAGTTGAGTGGGATGTCTGAAAAGGCGTACACGAGATCATTCAATAGTCTCCAAAACGTTATTGGGTTCAAGTGGGTTTTCCTTTTTAAGTTTATTCTCCACTTAAAGTATACATCTTTATATGTTTTGAGTTATCTTAATTGTTGTATTTCAGGATTAAGCTCAATATTAAAGAACTGGCAATTCAATTTGGATGTGTTAGGATAATCAAATCCGTGCAAACTATGTTATCTTCGTAAGCTCTCTTTACTTAATTCTTTTTCTCAGTTGTCACCATTTACCGTAGATGTTTTGCATGCTATGTGTTTTATCAAATGTCTCGTGTTCATGTTTGCTTTCTTAACTCTAGTCTATTTTTAATAAATTGCTTATTTTTATTGCTTTTGGTTGTTCTCTATAGTTATAAGGAGAGGTTTCTTGCATCACTACCAGCATCAAGACGGGGTAATGCTGACTTCACTAGACCTGTATTTACAGCTGCTGCTTTCTTTCTTTGTGCTAAAAAGCAGAAGGTAATTTTATACATCGGTTTCTTTCCTTTTTGATGGATGTTCTGAGTTGCCCTTTTGGGCTGTGTAACGTATCTAAATATCAAGCTTTGTTTGTTTGTTTGTTTTGCAGCTTAAGGTTGATAAGCTTAGGTTGATCGAGGTTTGTGGAACATCAGAATCTGAATTCTCTTGTGTGAGTGACATTGTTTGTTTCATTTTAGATGACTAATTTATGTTATGTGTGATCGATTGCACATGTACTGATTTTAGAGCTACATGGATTGATCAAACAGGTCTCAACCTCCATGACAGACCTTTGCTTTGACTGTGTTGGTGTCTCTAAAGAAAAGAAAGATGCAAAAGACGTTAAAGGAAATCGAGGTATGGTTAATCATTTGTCTTGTCTGAACATATATCAATCGAGCAATATAATTTGATTATGTGCAACATTTTTCTCAGAGTTGCTTGATGTGTTACCTCGAAAGAGGAGACTAGAGGATGGTGGATACTCATCTGATGATGAGGTACTTTTATTGCGTCTAACTTCTCCCTGTAATCTACCTACTTGTTCCTTAAATTTTGACGGTTTACTGATTCACACTACATTTGAATATGTGCTTCTGCAGTCTTCTTGTTACAAAAGACACAAGAAGATGGAGGAGGCTAAGTACGAAGATTGGAAATCAACTGTTGTCGATTCGATCAAAAAGAATCCAGAGAAAGGTGCTTTATACATTCCCTCATAACTTACGTTCACTGATTCATTGTATGTTATCTTTGTTCCTTATGTGTATGGGTCTTTGTGCTCTTTTCAGGAGCTAAGAAAGTTATACAGACCAGTCTCAGCTTCTTAAAGAAGGATGAGACAAAAGAGTTGCAAGTTGATTCATAGCCTTTCATTGCTAAGACTCTATAGAAAATTCAAGTTCTTGTTGGTTTAACTTTACATCACCATGAAAGAAAATGTGTAAATGACAATTCTTGAAAAGAAAAGTTTGTCCCCCAAACAATTTTACTCAATACCAATTTTGTCAATTTCTAAGCAAAAAATAAAACATAATTTGTATTAAAATATTATTCATGGTGTTTCCTAAACCAGCTTCTAAGCATTAGTTCTAGCTAGCAAGCATTATACATTTTTGATGTAATTGAAGCATACTCGGTGATTATAAAGTTGAGAATTCAATGATACACCTCAAAAGTTCCAAGTTTTTGGATTGTGAAACAAATATAAACTATTACATCAATAAATAGAGATCCTTAGAAAAGTGTAACAAAGACGACAAAGTGTAGCTCGAAAGCTCTATCAAATGATCAAAATGTCAGGTCACTCACAACCGGGGAGTAAAGATACTTCAGTGAGACGCAGTGGAGTTAGTAACCCAATACTGCTTCACTGCAATCAAAACCTTCTCCGGAACTAAAGGACCATCCTCATGATCAACCAGCTTCGAGTCCCATCTCATTCCAGAGATGATTCTCTTCACCTTAATCAGTGTGTCAACATCGTCCCGGATTATAACTGCTCCTTCTGGACGGAGAATCCTATCCATCTCCAGAAGAATGTCCTCAGCATTGCACCTAAACAGATTCCAGTTTCATTCATTACCAGTCTCAAAAAACCGACAGGTGTTTTAAGAAAAAGACAGAAACACTTACTTGTTTTTGTAAAGACTGAAGAGGTGGTTGGCATGGATTAAGTCATATGTTCTTGGGTAAGTAGAGAAAGCCTCACACCTGACAACCATCAAGACAAGAAACAATAAGCTTTGAGAAGTTGTAAACAAGAAGAGAGTCTTACTCTTATCTTCCACTTACCAGTCATGGTAGATTCCAATGAGTCCACGTTCATACACAACTCCAAGTCTATTCTTCTCAGCAATGGTTGGAACAACATTCATAACCCAAAGCTTTTGTGATTCAAGAGCAGCAGCAAACCCACCAAACCCTGCGTTCATATCCATAATGTTACGGTACCTTCCCGTATCAAGTAAACTGTTAATCCTCTTGTAAGCCTTCACATGTTTCTTCCACTGCCTATTATCATCTTCATAAGCATCAGCCGTGACACCAGAGACCGAACCGCTAGAGATCCTAGGCGGCACCGCGTTGAGCCTATCAGGGAAAACCTGAAGTTCTCCTCCAGCTACTTCATCTGAGCTACTTGTCTCTGGATAAGGTGTAATACACGCCTCCATTTTCTTGTACCAGACGTCATCAGTATCATCAGTTTTGCAGAAGTTGGCTCTAGGATCATCTTGTCTTGAACGGCAAGCCTCGTCGTTGACTCTCTTCTGCCAAATGGCGATCTCTCCGTGTTCATACTTCTTCTCCCAACATAGAAGCTTAGCAGCTTCCTCAATCTTTCTTTGTTCCTCTTCAAGATCCTCCTTGGGACGTTGCCATGCCTTGTAGCTGACTTTGTAATTGATTGGAGGACCAGAGAGGATCCAGTAGCCACCCGGTCTAAGTACACGGTCAACTTCCATCAAGTACATCCCATCTGTTTAAAACACCAAAACAAGATTAAAAAAGAACTGATCAATTTAGGCATGCCGGTTTGGTTAGTTCCGGTTATTCAGCTCAGGTTCTTCGGTTTAACAAAGATCTTACTGAATGAACCAGAAATAAAATTCGGAACGGTTCAGTATTCGGTTTTTTCTTTTGAAAATTTACCAAAGTTTTTTTATTTCAGTTAGATTTTGGTTGAATTTTGTTAAAATTTTGGATAAATTCGGTTATTATGGTTAATGCAGTTCGGAATTTAGTTAATTTGATTAGTTTGGTTCGGTTTTTTTGGTAGGAATTGGGTATATTTTTTTAAGAAAAAGAAAGCTGAAGTAACCGGAACCGAACCAAAAACCGATATTTTTATTTAAAAAACCTTTCGAATCAAACCGAATTGAACTAACAGTTCGGTTCAAAATCCCAGGCCTAGATCATTTGGGTAAAGAACTGGAAACTTGTCTTACCATTAGCTCCCCATGGAATCAAACACCTTGAGCAGTGAGCCATGTCAAACGCCCGTGTAGGGTATGGCAACTTTATGGTCCCAAAAACACCAATAACAGCTGGAACACCTCTCTCCAAAGCAAACTGAACCTGAGCCTCATGTGAATCTCTCGGTGCAAAAGACATTGCTCTCACATTCCTACTCCACAAGTACGCTCCCCAACTCGCAACCTAACCAAAGAAAAAAACCTTCCAACCTCATTCCACAACTAACAAAAAAAAAAAATCAAAAACATAAAAAAGACATTAATTATTATTATTACCCCACAACCAGTATCCAAAGCAGTCCTAACAGTCCCATTCCCCATAGGTATCACCTCCGCAAGCTGATCAATATACTTATCAGCTCCCTGAGGGAACTGAGTCCCACCTCCAGGGAACCTAAACACCTCACCTTCATACTGAATCCAATTCTGAATCGCCTTCTCAACAGTCAACGCCTTATACGGTGCATTAGCATAAGGCACATAGTCTCTACTCTTAGGCCAAGAGAAAGGCGTAACATATCCTTTAGGAGCCGGCACAAGACAACGTAGCTTCTCGTTCTCAGGAACGCAATGCCTTTCACGGTATATCATACTGTCTCTAGGGAAAGTCATCGCACGTTTCTGATCGTGGCATGGTGTGTAGTCAGTGTAACGAGCAGAGCAAGGCTCGAAGGCTTTGACTTTTGATGAGGAGGAGGAGGAGATGCTTGATTCACCAGCGTGGTGTGTCTCGAAGTTTAGGCTTGGGACGATGTTGCAGTCAGCGTTACTGTTTGTCATTTGGAGAGCGATGCTGTCTCCTTTGCCGAAACCGCTTCGTTGCCATGCTCCGAGGATGTAGAAGAAGCAACAGAGGCTGAAGACTATGAAGATCTGGACAGAGCTTCTTGTTTTGTTATCAGTCTTAATCGCCATTATTGATGATCTGATTTAAATTACAATCAAGAGTGCACAAAAAAATCAGATCAGGAGTGTAGAAAGTTTGAAGATTTGAGACATAAGAACAGATCCAAATTAAGACAAGAGTATTTAAAGTAGACAATGATGTCTTCAGGTAGAAGCAAGATGAATCTTTATTAATAAGGTGATTAAAATAAAGATCCGTAAGATTAACGAAACCATTTAAAGAGATCTAAGACCAAACACTAGTTAACTAAGGATATTTATTGTTTTAAGGAATATTAACAGATTAAGTAACACCACCCGATCTGGCAAAAAACTAAGAAGACAGGAAGTAAAAGTAGATTTGTCGGAATGAAGGAAAAGAAAGAAACGTACAGATATGTAATGAATCTGGAGAGATCTGCTGCTACTGATACAATTGGCTAATCAGATGCAAGATTGTTTGTCGGTGGGAATGATGATTGATTGATGAAACGTGTAAGGAAGCTTGTGGAGAAGCCTAGTTTATGAGATCTTTGTTATCATATTCTTGCCATGGGATGTGTGTAATTGGAGAAGAAGAGGGGATGATGATAAAGCTGGCGATTTTGTGTATTGGGGAGAAATCTATTTGCCCTTTTTATTAAAACACAGAGAGAGAGAGAGAGAGAGAGAGAGAGAGAGAGAGAGAGAGAGAGAGAGAGAGAGAGAGAGAGAGAAGGGGAAGAGTGCAGATCAAATCGACGTCTTGCATTTTTTTTCTTCATATAAAATCATTTAACCTAAAAATTAAAATCGGTGGATTGAATTATAAAAGCCAGATTTTTTTATAGAATAAATAAAATAAAACAAGAAAATCAAAGCTGATATTTTCTTTTTGTCGGCTAAATTAAAAGGAGATTACTTATTAATGCATACTAAAAATGTATGAAATTATATGAAGGTAATTTTAGTAGTAGTATATTTGAGTAGCCGACGATTAGGGAAGAACATACCTCTCTAAACATGGGACCCACCATCATGTTATGTTACAAAACCGCGTTGTAATCCTACCGTCTGGGATGATTAGTGTTAAGATCCTACGGCTAAAGATGGATCTTAAGACTGTTCTTCCCATTGTAATTTAATTATGGTTCTTTTGATAATCATAATAGTAACTTACTATGGCTTAGTGTTAACAAATGGAAAAATATGATTAGTCAGATGTCTGTATTCATTTACTAACATCCGAATTAAAAGTCCTATGTAGACTGTTCTTCACAAGACTAGTGACAAACACTAGCACTTAACCATGTACCTTGTCTCCATATAACTATAACACTACTAAGTAGTCTTTCGCAATCAACATCGATCCACCTTTGGTGAATTACTAGAATCCAAACACTAGCACTTAACCATGTACCTTGTCTCCATATAACTATAACACTAAGTAGTCTTTCGCAATCAACATCTATCCACCTTGGTGAATAACTAGAATCCAAACATTAGTGCAAGTTTTTCTTAAAACCAATAAAACAAAATGCGATACATGAGTGCATCTAAATGTATTAAATATGACATTTATTCCTGTTGGTTGCTTCTATTCAATAATCAAAGCTTGTTTTGACTTCTAGTGAAAAATAATATTCATCTATTTTATTTTAATTATCGTTTTAGATTTTTTACATATATTAATAATATTTAATTTTTTATATTTTAAAAATAAACTTATATATTTAACTACATTCCAATCAATAAATATTTTACTAAAATTATAAAATAATATTTTTAAAAATACTAGGTAATTATGCATTACAAACTATGAGAAATTACATAGATGATATTATAGTCGACAATTTTACCTACCTTATACTGATTCACGTTTGACTGCATTACCCTGAATCGCCCTGTGAGATCCATTTCTGACGGTACGTCTTGCGCCATGGTAAAGATCTCTTGTAAGATTTTTTTCCAATCTGCATAATTCATCATTCACTTTTTTCGGAAATTGAAACTCGAATGCGTAGATCAGATATAGAAACTTATAAACCTTAACCATTAGACTACGGTGTTTCCACGAATAATTTTATTCTACAATTTTATTCGACAATAACAAATAAATCCGAACAGAGGTAGTAGTATAGTACTACTATTACTAGTCTTCAGTTGGATTAGAGACCCACTATATCTTCATTCGAGAGTACCGACATCAAGTAAATGTGTATTGGTGGTTGGATGCTCATTTTCATGAGACCAAAACTTGTGGGATTTTGAAACTAAAAATAATGATTGGAAAAACAATACAAATAGTCGGTGTAGGCCACCCATTATGACTCGCTCTTTTGTCAGAATCATACTTATCATCAATTATAGCTCAGCTTTTCTAGATTATGCTTTTTTAACTCTTTTTTTCTTTCTTTAAACTCTTTACTAGATTATGCTTGTTAGTAGTATTAGCGATTTAAGTAAGATCCAGACCCAATCTAGACTCAAAATGCTCAATCCACATCTGAAAGTGAAAACTAATGTACATCACCCAAAATATACATTGGTGTTGTTTACAGCACCCTCAATACGATTTTGTTGATAATAAATCAATCAATGCTAGTATTACTTTTAGAAGATATGGTTGGAACCGGTCAAACATATGATATGAGCCATAACTCAAAAGAATTTCCGATCCCAGTTTTAGAAACATTGCTTTAAGTTTAAACTAATACAGTAGTATTATTTTTGGAAAGAAGATTTGCGAAATTACCAACAATAAAAACTAACGAAACTGACAAGTCTGGGCCCATGTTGCCGACTAAACCTAGTGAAGGCCCAATGCAGGTCTTTAGAAGAACTCACAACTTATAGGCTCAAGAGATTGAGACATATGATCTTATGTGAAAAAAGTGGCACACATCCGAACGTCTTAAAAAGGCGGTTAGATGAAAACATAGGGAAACATTTTTTTTGAATGAAGAAACATTTTTATATACACAAACACAATAATACCTTAAACTGGCACTTTAATCTAATCCAAGATAAGATAAACGACAATCAATAATGTGGAAGTGGATAGTCTAATAAAACTGAGACTAGATGTGATGACATACTATTTCTCTCATTTCTCATCCGTGCTTGAACCCTAGTTAGACAAATATGATATAACCATTACGTAATAACCAAAATTAACGAGTTTGTCGAGTATAAAAATTAGAAGACGAGAGTCATCAGACATGATTAATTAACTGTGGTGAAGAGGGTTAATTATGTTCACGAAGACAGAGGTATGGATGCTTGGGCTTGAAGACTTTGAAGTTTTGACTAATTTTTTTTCTTATATAAATAGCTAAACTATACACTTTCTTTTATATAAAGATAAGAGAAAAATATATCTCTAATACCAAGTGCACACGCTTGGGAACTAAAAACCAAAAAGAGTCAAACCTAAAAGAGAGACAAAATGGGTAATAAACCGAGGAAACTTGGCTTTTTGGAATTTCATTGGGTTTGACGTATATAGCCTACCTATGAATTTAGACTTGTGCCTATAGTGCGATCTGGTTTTGGAGTCGGTACCAAAAATTAAACTCAGGTGAGGTGAAGCAGGACCATCGAGCTACATTCTATTTTTCCAGTTTTTCACAAGTTATTTTTTATTTTGCCTTGTTGATTCCCTAGTTTTTTGAGGTCAAAACACATTGTCGAAGCCCTAGACGTAACTTCTTATACGTAAGATATGTCTCATTCTCATTCGTGGAAGTCTTCGTTTAGTATTTTCCCATTCAGTTATACTTCTTTTTATTTCTTTCGAACTATATGTTTTTCTTAACAAGAAAACAACCCATATGGGTTTTATAGAATTTAGTGATCACCACCATGGTAGTGACAAAGTATAAATTTATGCCGTTATAGGTAAGCAACATCTGTTTCATTTAAATTCTATTTGCCTTGTCATATAGCAGTTAATATATTATATGACCAGACTGATCCGGAAACCGATAAATGACTATTTGACGGTGTAGTAAAAAATCAGTTGATAAACTAATTGACGGTACTTGTACATACACAAGAATGATTAAATAAATTAAGATTTGAATTTTACCAAAAGCAAGAAAACGTTGAGAAATTCTATACTTTGGTATTCGGTATTTCAAAAACCAACAAAAAATTCAAGTAAATTTGACTTTTGCTATATAAATGCTACACATAGCTAGTTAATGTTACCGATTTAATTAACTGCGTACCCGGTAATATTATAACCTATTGTGCAGTTACCATAGTACTATAGTACTTCAGAACTAATTAAGATTATTTTCTCCTGAGGTCTTTCGAATTTATTTCCACTTCGAACTTTGAAGCTGTTTATCATTTCTTGAAGTCACATATATATATATGGGGGCAGCATACTTATATATATGTATTTAGTGCATGTGTTTACTTAAACCACATAAATTCTAAATCCTAACTGAATTAATTTCTTGTGCAATTTAATTTACTAAAATCATACAACTTAAAGGTTTGTTACGTAATATAAGTATAGATGGATATATGGTGCTGTGCATAATCATAAGATTGAGTGAGGAGATACCTATATAATTATATCTCCATCAATGCGATCCATACATTAATTAGTGCATGATATTATAACATGCAGGATAGAGTAAAGCATAATGTGTTTCTTTGTCTTGGGGGTATGCTTGTTTGTTTTGCGGCTTTTGGTATAATATGCAGCAGAGAGGATGCTGATCCTGAAAGATCTAATATACTCATATTCGTAGAAGCCATTGTTTTTTTGTATGGAGATTGTGATCATGGTTTGTAGTCATATTCATTGAAGATATTGGAGTAATTAAGCCTAATTATATACATATGCGGATATGCCAAAGCTATCTAAATTACAGGATGACACACAGCTGAAATTTTACCGTAAAGATAACTTGCTCATGAAATGGTATGTGTCAAACAATATAATCAACTTAATTCACAGGTAATGAATAAACCAATGTATTTGTTTTTTTTCTTCTGAATAATTCCAGTGTGAGAGCAATCTTAGTTTTTAATCCTTGAGCTCACGTGATTAGTCTTGTGGACATAGAAATGTCATATAATATTAATATATGAAAATGTCGCGACAATGAACTTATGAAGTTAGATAGATACTTGAATTAAGAATGTACATGTAAAAGTCGAACCCTTTCAACTAATTTCTTGAAGTCTTACCATAAGAGGATATGAGTCAAAACTTAAGAGTTGTCGGTTGGAAAATTCGAAACGCTGAAGTTACCAAATAGGTCAAAGTTTACAGAATCTTTCAGACAAGTTGGTCAAATCTAATTAAAGGGTAAATGGTAAACTAAACTAATGTCATCGCTCCCATTGGCCACTTAGACGTTAACCTATCTTTTTAAGTTCAAATAAAGCTTATATTTTGTAATTTAAATTTACTGAATTTTCTGACATTGGTCAGTGGGAATAGAAACTGTGAAGAGGAATGGAATAGAAACTCGGATCGTTTTCAAATTTTTGTAGTTTAATCTTAATTAGAAACCTGAAGGCAGTTGATTAGTAGTATCTTTATGAGTACGATTGAATTTAATTTCGAATCTTTTTGTAGTGGCAGCTGGCCTCGATCGGCCCTTGTTTCCTTGTTTCCTTTATTAATTACAAGACTTCAAACCTAAGCGACAATATTAAAGCGGTTCTTAATTGGGTCTTTAATAGTTTCTAATCTTTTTTTTTTCTATTTTCTTTTTGCAATAATGTTAAATTTATTCAAGCAAAAAAAAAAAATTTAATTATCTGAAGTGTTTTAAATTTTTTGAAAATTTAAGAACATTATAACAGTTTCTATTTTCTTGGAAGCACACCAAGTGATCATCGCTTGGTGTAGATGTTTCCCTCCCTTTCCTTTAAGCGCGCTAATCAAGTTCCTTAACTGCTTGTCAATAAACTTGATAAGCTGAACAGAGACCTGAGGAGCAAAGCCATGCGCCTATTGTTTCTTTTCATCCAAATAGTATGCACCAGAGGCTTGGAGAGCATATACCGAACTAGAAAAAGCAGAGTTTTGGATAAGAAACTAACCGACGCTAGCTTCAAAACACAGCTCTTTACATTGGTGCAGTTCTGTCCAAGGAGTTTCCCCCACGAGTTTACTTTCCTCCATACCTCTTCAGAGAAAGGACATTATAACAAATGGCCAGGAGTTTCCACGTCCGATTTGAAGAGAATAATTTCTCATCTTCATGCATAACTAGTACTGATACATTACATACATTGAAACACACACTAGTATACATTGAGGGCGATGAAAATTTCATAAACTTCCTGACGTATGAGTGTCTACGTTACATGTACGTGTGTGTATATGCGTACATAAGATGCTGATCATTCTTGAAGTAATGACAATGCTTCATTTTTACGTATGTTACGTAATAATATGTAAGAAATACAGATTGTATATACTATAGTACGTTTTTATTTTATTTTCTTGCGCTTGTCCTCGTGTTTATAACCTTTTCGCTCCATTATTTAAAATTGTCTTGAAGTAAAACCAAAGAAGTCTTCAAACAAACTTTATTGGGTGATTAATTCAAAAAGAAAAAAAAATGAATAAAAAAACTCAGCTGAAATGGCGGCTGATCCTTCGGGTTCAGACCCCTCGCAAGGAAGCATATATTGATTTCAACTTAAGCTAAACCACTTCACTTCACTTCCACTCCTTACCAGACTTATCCTTTTCCACTTAGGATTTCTCTCTTGAACTCCTTTTTGTTTTTAGGGTTTTAAGGAAAATGGAAGAAAGAAACAACGATGGTGATCAGAAAATGGAGGAAGTATTGTTGCCCGGCTTTAGGTTCCATCCAACCGACGAAGAGCTTGTAAGCTTCTACTTGAAGAGGAAGGTTCAACACAATCCTCTCTCCATTGAACTCATACGACAACTTGATATCTACAAATACGACCCCTGGGATCTTCCAAGTATATATGATTTTTCATACTTTATCTCATATTATTTGGTTACGCATAATATGATGAAATGATGTCTAACCAAATTTTTGGTTATGAATCAATATTGTAGAGTTTGCGACTGGTGAAAAGGAATGGTACTTTTATTGTCCGAGGGACAGGAAGTATAGGAACAGCTCGAGACCGAACCGAGTGACTGGAGCTGGTTTCTGGAAAGCCACGGGAACAGACAGGCCTATTTACTCGTCGGAAGGAAACAAATGCATAGGTTTAAAGAAGTCATTAGTGTTCTACAAAGGTAGAGCTGCGAAAGGAGTTAAGACTGATTGGATGATGCATGAGTTTCGTATGCCTTCTCTCTCTGATCCATCTCCTTCTTCTAAGAGGTTCTTCGATTCACCTGTCTCTTCAAACGTAAGCTCACATTAACTTGATCTATACATGCTCATATTAACTCAATGATTACTCTAGGTTTGATTTATTTGGAAAGAGAAAAACTGTTGATGAAAGTAATGGGTACGACTATGCGTACATTTTAATTATTAAGATTGAAAGATTTGGTTAGAAGTCTTTGAGAATAATTTTTTGAAGTATAAATAATATAATATATCTTGAAGAGTTGAATCTGGTGCATTTTGTTTCGCAAAGTAGCTAGTGAGTTGCACTATTACATTGATAAAGCAAATGAAGTTTTCTGTGACAAAAAAAAGCAAATGAAGTTTTAAGTTTTTTATTGACAAATACTACTAGAGATGTGAATATGGATTTATATTCTACCGGACTCACTCTTTTTTCTACGTTTTCCCTTTGATGTAAAGCTCAAGTTGTTTTTTTCTTGTCTACTATTATATTTTTAGTAACAATAAGGTTTTTATCAAACATTTTTCTTAAAGTTTCAACTCAAACTTAAAAGATAAAAAAGTACAGAATAAATATGAAAACCCATCTGTTGCAAAAAAAAATATATAAAAAACATTTATAATCTAATAACATACCACAAATGTTTTTGATTGAAATGATTTGACTCTTATTTTGTTATAGATTATACAACTTAATACAAAATGATGTGGATCTCTGCAGGATTCATGGGCTATATGCAGAATCTTCAAAAAGACAAACACAACGACCTTAAGAGCTCTGTCTAACTCATTTGTTTCCTCGTTACCATCAGAGACAAGCATCGACACAATTATGTCGTCCGACCAAAAGCTATCACACTGTTCTTCAGACAAGATCCTCAAAACTAGCTCTCACTTCCAGTTTCACCATGATCATATCAACAGTACTCCCAAAACTAGTACTGGTCCAACTTCTCATGTTGCCACTACAAATCCATTATCTTACTTGGATTTCACTTCCTACGAGAAAACCACCAACGTTTTCAATCCGGTTTCATGTTTAGACCAGCAATACCTCACTAATCTCTTTCTTGCCACACAAGAAACACAGCCTCAGTTTCAAAGACTCGCCTCACCTAATGAATCCCCCTCGTTTCTCTTAAACATGCCATCATCAGATTCTTCCTTGTTGGGAGAATGCACAAGCCAGATCGACCTAAGCGTGATGTTGGCTCAAGAGCAGTGTCCTGCGCTTGTAAGCCTACCACAAGAGTATCAAGAGAAGGGACTCGAAGAAAATGGAGAAATAAAGAACCTGGGTGGTTGTAATGGCGATATTGGTTCAACCTTTGAAGAAAACCATCGTCATCATTATCAAGACGTGAAACATAACATGACAATGTTGGAGAGTTATTATTCTTCTTTGTCTAATGGCGATTGGGCAACTTGTTTCTCCACAACTTGATTGTTGTGGGTAGATTTTATGTATTTGCCTAAATCCTAATTGCCTTGGATTTCCAAGCTAGGTTGTTCCCTTTGTAGTGTTCTCTTTCACTAGCTGATGCAAGGAAGTTAAACCATTATCAATTATGCTTTCTTGAGTGTTTTATTTCAGTCAAATTTAGGATTGACTCGAGTGGAGGATATAAACAATTTAAAAAAAGTAAATTAAACGAAAGAAAAACCTTAAACAGATTAATGAAGCCCAAACAAAACCTTTTATATTGATATAAAGCTATATATGTACCAAAAACAAATCTTTTCTAGAGCTGAAAAGTCAAAAAAATTGGAATCAGACAGAAATCATTCCTCCAGGAAGATGCTATCTAGCTCATTCTGGTTTATCTTCCTACTGTTATGATGTTCGAGTTCATTCTATACATCAGCCATGGCACCTACACGTACTTAAAAGAGTCAATCAGACTAAAATGTAAAAGACACTCGGACAGGTAAATCCGTAAATATGTATATAATTCATAATGTCAGAGACAAAGATAGTGTAAAAGATGTATCCTCCTTTCAAGGCCAAAATCAAAAATAAAATAAAAGACTTTTTAAGCCCTGGGAGCTGCTTTCTCCTTAGCCTTTTGGAGTTTCAAAACTTTCTTCACGATCTTCTGCTCTTCAACAAGGAATGCTCGTACAATCCTGTAGAAAAAACCAAAACACACACACCACTAAGTTTAGCAAACTCTCAAAGTTAGGTAATACTAATACAAAACAGATAACTTCAAGTTTTAAACAAACAAACCTTTCCCTGACTGCTAAAGCAGACAAGACTCCACCGTATGCACGGTTCACAGTCCTCCTGTTTCTTGATAATCTAGACCTCTTGTATTCGGTAGGCCTCAAATGAGGGATCTGAAATAAAAATATAAAAAACCATGAAAATACTATTTATATCGAAATCACAGCAAAATCCATTAAAAAAAATTGAAAATATCTGCCACGGGTGGATAGTAATTTCCTTATTGAATTACAAGGAACAACTTGAAAGACAAAGTGGCACTAACACTTTAGCTTATGATTAATGTTATGTACTGATGGAGATTTATCTAACCAGCACAAGACCGTCAATAAGCACAATAATATATATCAAACACTCAAAAGATATAAACTTTATTTCAATTCTCATCAAAAGATCAAATCTTGCAAACCACGCAAGAGAATCAAAGACTTACTCCATGAATACGTTTGCCAGTAACAGGGCATTTGGGTCCATTGGCTCTCTTCTTTGTGGTTTGAAACGCCAATTTGCCACCTGGGGTTTTGACAATGCGGTGCTGGTTCGATTTGGTGGCGTAGCTATGTCGCGACCGGTACACAAGACGCTGCACCATTTTGCTCGCCGCTACTCTTTCTCGCTCCCTTAAGGTTTTTACTATTGCGACGGAGATAATATAAAGAGGGAGACGACTAAGCCCTAACCTAGACTCATATGGGCCTTGTGAGTCACGAAATGGGTTTAGTTATCTTATTATTACTACGGTTCATATTACTGGCCCAAATAGTAATCAGTCGATTTATATATATAGATGCAAATTAATCGGAAATTATAGATGTAATTTTTGAACGAAAAAAAGATGTAATTTTTCTTTTGAAAGCTTATAGATACAAATTAATCGGAATTTTTATGCTGATGTTAGAACAAGACAAGCGTGGAAACCTCCCATTTTTTCAAAGGTTCGAAATCATTGTTTACTGACTATATAATCACCACCCGACTCGGGATGTTACATAAAGGTTCGTTAATGATTTTACATCCTGAGATCTGAATTCTAATTTCCGAAAAAACGAAACTATACGAATTAACAAAAAAATAGTTACAACAAGGATTTTTAACATAAAAATCCCTCAACTAAGTTTATTTTGGATAAAACCCCCTAAACTAAGTATTTAATGAAAAAACCTCCAAACTAACTTTATTTAGTGAATTAAACCCTTACCGGTCATAATTACCAGTACTACCGGTAAATCTTTAGTTTAGAGGTTTTATCATTAAACATAAAAATCAATAAAATTCAAAATATAATAACATTATCTAAAAATTTGTAATTTTAATTTTCAAAACTAGCATTTAAAAAAAAATTATGTAACTATATGAGTCTGATTTTTTATCCTTTTAAAATCAAAATTATATATGTATAAATTTAAAATGTAAAAACCAAGAAAATATAAGAAACATTTTCTAACGATTTACCTGTAATAAAAATTATCAAAATTATAAATATAAAACAAGAAAACAAAATAAAAATTATATCTTATTTAATAAAAATGTAATAATAAATCTTTAGATGTTTTTATTATATTTTGGTGTTTTAAAATTTTAATATATATATATATATATATAATGTTGATGTTAAAACAAACCAAACTCATATATTTACAGAAAGTTTGAAAAATGCTAATTTAAAAAAAAATTAAGTTACTAATTTTTAGATAATGTTATAATTTTATTTTTAGATTTTTAATGATAAAAACCCTTCAACTATGTTTAATATGGGGGTTTACTTGTTAGTTTGGGGTTTTTTACCCAAAACAAACTTAGTTAAGGTATTTTAGAGTTAAAAATCTATTTTACCAGGATAAGAAATCACTCATATATTTACAGAAATTTTTAAAATGCTAGTTTTGAAATTAAAATTACGAATTTTTAGATAATGTTATTATATTTTGATTTTTTTCTTTTTTTTGAATTTTTATGTTTAATGGTAAAACCCCTAACTAAAGATTTACCGGTAATATTGGTGATTATAACCGATGAGGTTTAATTCATTAAATAAATTTAGTTTGAGAGTTTTTTTCAAATATTTAGTTTAGCGGTTTTTACCCAAAACAAATTTAGTCGAGGGTGTTTTATGTTAAAATTCCTTACAACAAATCTACGACATGGCACGAAGAATACGGTGAAATGTAGCTCAAGTGGTGACAATTATAACAACTGATACATTAACATTTAACTTTTACTATCAGTTTGATAAAATGATAGAATTTTGTATTACTTTTACCAATGAATTAATATTATACCAATTTATATCAGTTAAATAACTGATGCAATTATATTCTTTATTAACATCATGATTACATATGGTACAAAAGTTACATCAATTAAATATTTATACTAATGTGAATATATATTTAAATCAATTAGTAAAAATGCTATTTTACTTTTGCATCAGTTAAAAAAAAGTTATATCCGAGAGAATATTGTTTTTGCGATAAGTGGTCTTCATTCCATGATTGGACAATCAGATGATGAGTACTGGTCAAGTCTTGACAAGAATGAGCAAGCAAAGTTCCTGGACGCCTTTCTAGTATGTGATTCTGGTAAAGTAAGGTCTACTTTTGTGGGTCTTACTACTACTAGTTCAGGAATTAGCGAGCAAAAGAAAGATGATGTAAGAAAGGTACTGATTGGAAGTTTGCTTAAAAGATTGGAGAAGCTTGCGTTTGATGATGATGTGGAGGGCTCTCTTCAGATGAGAGTTGTGTTCAACGTCTATAAAGATTTTGCATCAAACTTGAGTCAAGAAGAATGTCGACTGTTACAAGTGGTTATCTATTTCCGGGCTTTGGGTTGACAGACATTGGAGTGGGCCGAGACGGTATTATGTGGAGGCCCAGAAGAGTATGTCTAATCGGTTGAGCCCAAAGGTGTTATACTCTGCGTTTTGTCAAAGTGGTCTTCGACTTTGAGGATACAACGGTATTCGACATCCCATGTGCAGGTTGTTGAAAGATTCGTGAGCTGGCAAGAGCAAGTGGTCAGCGAATCTATCTGGGATAACAGAGTATATATATGGAGTAACGGAAGAAGAAAAGGTTGAGACGAAGACTTATCTTTACGTCACAGAGATCTTGGATTATAGGGTGAGAGAAACACTTGGGAAAGGGTTAACATTCTTGAGTAATCTTGGTTAGACTCTGTAATCTAGGTTCATCGGTGAGAGACGTGAGATATTGGGTTTGAGAGGTGTGAGCTTGGTGAGTGATAAAGCTCCTCTGCTTCGTCTTGTATCCATTACCTCCTTGAGACGTACCTTGGGTTAGTTAACACCCTTGGGAACTCATAATCTCTCTGTGTCTTTAGTTTCCTGCAAACACAAACAAACAAATCAATCATCATAATCATAAGAAGTAAATGGCTTAGATAAACCTGATTCAAGCGTTTTAACCACTACATCGACCATACGCTTTCAGAATTCTGCTCCCCTTGTACAAAGTTTGCCAAGGGTTTACCGGCAAAGTCATCTCACATGAGGTGAAACAATTAGCAGAAGAGGTGAGAGATGGTATAAGAGACAAGATATTAGGCATCCCAATGTTTGTTCAAGTTTACAGCGAAATCAAAAAGAGCTTGGAAGCGAAAAGGGACAAGAGGAAACGAGAGGAGAAGATAATGGCAGTGGTAAACCCTGAGAGAAACGCAAAGAGGAAGCTGAAGCTAGCCTCCAAGAACAAGGCTAACAAGAAGAGGACTATGAGCAGTAAAATGGCTAGATGGTCACGCTCTTGAGCTCTCCCTTAACCATATTATATGTCCTAGCTTTTTTATTTATGTAAGCTTATATCACCAAATACATTTGTTGTTTCATATTTAGTTTACAACTTCAGTTTTCTGTTTTGTCAGTCTCGTTTTCTACTATTATTCTTTTTCTTCGAATTTCAGCTAAAATCTGACTAAAAATTCCAGTTAAATAGCAATTAGCTGCTCAAGAATTACTTAAAATAGTTTCTACGAGTTATATCTACTCTATTAAAACAGAATTACAAAAACCTTATTGCAATTTATTTACTGATTATTTACATATTTTATTTCATTTTAACTTAATTATAACCAACTCATTTATTTTATTTTTCAAATAATTATAACTACTTCATTTATTGTACTTGCAAATGATCCGATATCATTTATTACAAAAATACAAAACAATAATTCCTATTTTTAATTGTTTTATCTTTTACATTTATTTTTTCATTTTTTCTAGCTATTTCAATAATTTTATTTAACATAATAATTCGAATGAGTTTTTTTATATGTTAAACATAACTATACGATAGGTTTGAATGAAATCTCCATTTAAAACATGAATTTGAAATGATAAATAATAAGTTTTATTTATTTATTTACAGAATCAATTAGAATTGTGTATTAAAATATCCGTTCGGATACAAATAGTTTATTTCAAATATCGGATTTTGAATTTTTAGACTTCGTTTCGTTTAGATATTAAGAGAACCCGAAATATTCAGATAACTAATATATAATTAGTTATATGGTGATATATCTAAATATATAACTCTAATCACTAAAATAAATATTAATTTATATAAAAAACTAATATCCGCACATCGCTCTAATTATTTATTAAATTTAATTAGTTGACTAGTTATAAATATTACTTTTGTTGACTAGTTATAAATGCTACTTTTGTTGTCTATATCAGATCCAATTCAGCTAATTTATGTTACTAAAGTTTGTCATAAATTATTTCTATAAGTTTTATAATTCAAACACTCTTCCTAAATTTTTATGTAATATACAAATATTGCAAAACCATGGTTTTGGTTTTAGTGTCCGAAACCATGGTTCTGCAATATGTCATGTGGATTACCATATTGCAAAACCATGGTTTCGAACACCGATTCTATAATTTCGAAACATAGCAACGTCTCTTGTTCTTATATTTTTATTTTGAATTATAGGCTTGTCTTTTGAATCAAAGACCAGAACAAGGTAATTTATTATAATTTTCCAAAATTAACTAATTAACTTCTATTTGATCAAAGTTATATTTATAAGAAATTATATTGGAACCCATAATTATGTCTTTAACTATTTATTTTTAGTTCCGAATCTGGAAATGGTGTTTTACTTTTTAGAGTAGTGGTCAGTGGAGGCAATTGCATTACTGGTAATATAATAAACAATAAGCAAAATCAATATTCTTTGCTAATTACATCACTTTTTAAAGCTGATGTTGCATTAGTGGAGGAAACATTAGGGATCAGCAAAAGTAATCTCATTCTATTAGATTTTACAGTTGTATTAGACGACAAATTAACAGATTTAAGTATGTTGATAAAATGATAACCCCAAAATGGGCTACTATACTAGCATAAGCCTCCACCAACACTAACCTTGCTTTATCTTTTTATGCCTCAATCATGGGCTCATTTTCTATTGCACCAGAAGAAAACTTGCAGTGGTCAATTAAAAAATGCCATTTAAATAAAACTAAAGTCCTACTCGAATATGATACTCCTGTCAAAACATTTCATCACATAAAATTTGAAAGATAATATATGAATATTAAATAAAAAGGAAAATTCATCTTTATATACATTGGTACTTTTAGCATAATCAAATAGTTGAAGATTCCACCCAAATAAATATGCTTTTAGAGTCGATGCAGGCGCTACTGAATGTGAATAAATACTTCACAAACTTTGGACTTAAAGTACTCAACTGAATCATTAACTTTTCTGTTCTTTCAGGGCACAAAACGACAAAAACAACTAGCAAGTTTTAGTGGTATCTAGTCTGTTTTACAGAAAACTAAGATGTGATTACACTTAAAAGCTGTAACTGAGTATAAGGATTAAGACTTTTGAATCTTTAGAGCAAGAGGAAATATCTAAGAGCTCAAAACGTAACATGAAAAGAAGAACCATCCATTGAAGTGTAAGATCAATATAACTCAGCAAGAAACATGAAACTACAAATCAACAATAAGTTACATAACAACAATCTCCTCAATTTTTTTTATATCTTAATCATAACTAATAAGCCTCTTAACACCAACTAAACCAACATTGTTGTTCACATCTTCAGCAGCTCATCACCGCGCAATTGTAAACAAAATTAACAGACTGTTTCTTGCCAAGTAAATGCCACTGTGGTGCACCATGACTTGGAACCCATGAGTTAAGCTCAATGAACCCTTCACCTGGAGCCTTTGGTCCACCAATCACTATAACCTGATCCCCACAAGCTCTAAACGCTAAGCCCCAACCGTTCATGGAGCCAGCTTGCTCAGGTAAACTCCCAACTTGAACCCAAACGCGACTCTCCTTATCATACCTTCTAACCGCCATACCGGCATGATCAGCCGCGTAAAGCTGATCATTCACAACCGCTACAAGCGGTGGAGCCATCGCAGCCGCTGACATTCCATTCCCTTGGTTTATCAACCTCGGTGGCGACATATCAGGAATCTCTCTCCATATTCTCGTCTTCATATCAAACTCTTCACCACAAGTCAATACCTTAGGCTCGTTCCCTTCCCCAACACCAATCCCACCAATCACATAAAACTTCCCATCCATAAACACACCGGAACACATCTTCCTCCGCTTCTTCATCGCCGGTAACACCGACCAAGTCTGGTCCTCAGAGTTATACATCTCAGCCGTGTCAAGAATCCTACCGTTTGAATCGCAACCGCCGGCTAAAACCGCGATCTCACCGTAACTAGCGGACCCAAACAAGCATCTAGGCATGTTCATACTCTTACCAGTAGACCAAGAGTTAGTCAAAAGACTGTATCTATAGATTACGTAAGAGCTCACTTCCCAACCGAACACAAGCAAATCAGTTCCGACAGCGAGAGACTCTTTGTCTGCGTACCTGAAACATTCGTTCTGCGGCATACTCGGCAAACGCATCCACCGTTTCGACCTCGGATCAAACGCTTCCCATTCGTTGAGATGGCACGAGAAGTAAACCCAGTGCTCGAGCGTCCCTTGTAGCCTCCTGAGCCTATAAATCTCGCCGCTTCGGACCAAAGCTCGTAGGTTTCGACTCACTGAAGCAATGGAGCAGTAATCAGCTCGAGAGCAACGAAGCAAACAGGTGAGTGAGTCGTCTTTGTTCATCCCTGGGATTAACGATCCAGAATCTGATGATGACCCGTTCTCTCCATCTCCTCCGTCAAGATTCAAGAACTTGTGAATCTTCTTGTGGTTGTGACTCTCGTCTTCATTGAGAAAGGCCCGTTTTGTGGAAATCGAGAAGCTCCATTTGGTTTCTTGATGACTTGGCATGGTGAAGAGAGTTGAAACCAGACAAGAATCTCGTGGTCGACCTTCAAACATCTTGTCGGAAGGAAAATCAAAAATCCAATTACGCAAGAAAATCAAGAAACTGGTTTAGTGCTTCAGATTGGATCCAAGCTTTTAACCAAGAAGATGCATAAAGTCAACTCCATGTTTCGAAACTATAACTCGTGAGTTCTAACTTACCTGCAACTACAATATAAACATTCTTGTAAGAACAACAACAGAAGATGGATAATTGTAATAGAAGATGAAGGAGAGTTTGCTGATTGATTAAAAACTAAGTATTAAAAAAAAGATTTAATTAACTAATATCATCTCTCTCTATCTATGTTTTCATTTGTATATCTTTCTTCATATAACCTTAAGCTCATCTACAAATCAGAAGAAGCAAATGGCCTTTGTAGACAAAAATAAATCTAAAGTGTTTGTGCACATTTATTAAATTAAACATTTATCTAATTATTCTGTACTGTTTTACTGTTGTAGTCTTTTAGCTAGATCGAATAAATATTTAGTAATTAAATTCTTCATTACAGGACAGGCGTGTAATCCAATACCTTGAATCTAACCATTGATATTGCTTCAATCGTACAATATTGTTCTATAAAATTTTAAGTACCATACTTTATCATCAAATAACAGTTTATAAATTGCAATTGTACTCTCTCCTTTCTTGGGACATGGGTGGTGCCAAGAATGTGGATGATTTTTTATTGAATTAATTGCTGTAAAAAAATAGGAAAAAGTTAAGATTAAAGTTGGATAAGGACGAATAAAACGTAATCACCGGAAGATTGTTGTTTTCCCGGTAGTTCCACGACGGGGCCGCCGAGTTTTGCGGTAATACGGAGGCCCGTTCGACACGTGTCGTGACCCCCTCCACAAGCCTGAGTGTGTCAGTTTTTTTTTTTACTTTTTTGACTCTATTAGTTACTAAAAGCCGGCTAGGGACAGACTGGAATAGCCTACGGGCGAGAGTACGGTACACCTGATGCTTCTGGGCCCCGCTTAAACTCTGAGGGACGTTTGGTATTTGAATACAGCGGGATGTCATGTATGATGTTATTGTATGGACCCATATAAAATTAACGTTTGGTCATGAGTCATGACGATGATTGTTTTACACCTAACTATTGACTTTCTGTCCGAAATTCAATACATTGATCAACCACATTGTGATTTAATGAAAAGGGTAAGACACTATTTTCATGTTGAAATCTTCCGATGGCTTGGCCTAATTTCTCTAAGTACCGATGCTTTATGCTTATGACGATTTTTTATATCATGGTAGAACAGACATACTATTACATGTGTCCATGAACTCAAATGTCAACATTTTTAACTAAAGATTTCATAAATTCACATTCAACTGATGTAATAAATCCCAACATTTGTTTCTCTCCATTTGTGGTACGGTAGTTCATCTATGCTCTCATGTTCTCTCACAAAGTGATTTAGCAACCTATAATTTCGTCGTGTGAAACTTTTGGTCGAGTAACAATGACAATGTCGAAAGCTTTCTATAGTTCTTGAGCTATAATGTAATGATGATAATTTTACAGTTGATTTTTATTTTATTTTTGGCGGCATTTTACAGTTGATTATAATTAAAAAAATGTAACTAGTCAACTAAGAAGTTAATAAGGATATAGCACCATATTCTGGAACTTTAATGGTCACATGTATGATTTTAGTAAAACAAACTGGGATATTAGAAAAGGGTTCTTTATCATATCGAACAATGTATGTCTTAGGTACATTGTAAATGTATGCTTCTAAGCTAATTTTCATTTAATCTCAGTATCACTAAACATATTATCATATTCTAATAAACCGGAGTTTGGAAAACTATGCTAAATACTTAATGATACAATTAGCTTTCATAATTTTTGTTTTCTTATCTATTACTATGGGAACTATATATATAGGATTTGGTTATATTCAACATGCATGTAAAGATGTTTCTATGGCTTTTGAGTCTTTGTCTAGTGATTTCAACTTTAACCTTGAAATATCACTTTTAAAACAAGTTACAACTATAATCTAGAGAAGCAAAGACTTGCTTTATAGGTTATTACAAATAAAAAGTGTGTTCATCACTCTTCTTTAGATCGTTGAATACATAATAACAGATGTCATTTTGTACATAAATAGAATTCAATGTTTTCTTACAGAATGAGAATTTGCTTATTCGTTTCAACACGCATGGGAATGCGAAGATATAATGAGAAATTTGAGAAATATTAATGGCATTAGCCTATTAGGAAGCAGGAAACAGAGAAAATGAATACGAAGTTAAAGAAAATTTGTCTAAAAATGAAGAAAAGGTCAAAAAAATTAAAAATGAGACTCTAGGTTTTAGTCACATGTCTGACTCAGCATCTGACTAGATTAGACTCGACGCTTAATTTGGTGATGGCCCCCATCTCATTCTACCCATTTAAGTTTGAAAAATGCAACGAAAGAAATCCTTAACATTTCTTACAAAAATAGAAAAGGTAGTACAAATAGATAAATGACAAAAAAGTGGTAGATGATAGATAATTGGTCCTATTTGTTTCCGTTTGTATGTTGTGTAGAATTTATGGGTATGCAATGGAAGATTTGTTTAATATTTGCTTTCTTATGTATTGTAAAGATCTGTTTGAATATATTATGGTAGACTTGTTGAATATCTTCTTTCGTATGTTTATGTAGATTTTAAGGTATATCGACGTATTATTATTATCGCTTTTTGGTTGTTGTGTATATTTTCTGTTATGTTGTGTAGATATTGAATAATATAATTTTTGAGCTGGAGTATCCAGCTATATACTATCTTGACGGAAAGCATTTTTGCTACTCATAAGTATGAATACCTATGGTGTTTTCTCCAGCACTATGATGAGTGATAACTATTAGATTCTTTTGTGCGTGTCATTACGAAGTCAGTTCATTATCTGCTAATTCGTCACTTGAATACATTTTTAAAGAAGAAGAAATAATATATTTAAAAATTATGAGATATGAATTTTCGTTTATAATCATCATCTATATGGTTTACGTGTGTGTGAATTTGATGCGATCACAAAGATAAATACTGAGCCGTGTGCGGAATGAATTTGGTGACTATAAGATGGTTCGCAGCGTCTGAGTGGGTCTTCAACCAATATACACACATCACAGCCTCACAGCCTGCTCTATGTAATTTATATGTTCTCTAGGATGCTGAACACAGAAAATCATTGTTACCACACATTGACACACACGTATTTATTATATACAGATTATAGTAAAAATGTAAAAAGCATAACATAGTGTTCTAAGTAGCTTGTTCTTGGCTCTACGAAGCCCCTTTTCGAGGGAACCAACAACAAAAAAGCATCATGTAGTGACGTGTATCTGCTTTTATAAATCAGAATACTCTGGAGGATTAGGTGGGCAACCCCCATTGCGGAGAAGAAAGGGAGTGGGCATCTTCGTAAGACAAATTTAGACGCACTAATTTTTACCAAAAATAAATAAATTTAGACGCACTTCGTTAATCATTTGTTTGCTATTTTTTATTTATTTATTCTTACCATAATTATAATAAACACATTGTCCCATTTTATTTAACCGACTTATATCTCTCTCCTTATAAATAATTATCAGTTTCATGTTTTCTAGGGGAGTTTCAAATGTATACAATAACTTGCAGAAATGTACAATCACCATGTCTATTTGTACACAAAAAAAGAGAAAATTAAGTATGACACAATATGTTCAAACCAAAAAGTGATACAGTTATATATATCAGTATTGCATATACGAAAATTAAGTTAGATGTAGTTTAATGTCAGAATTCAAAGTCGTGTGTAACTATACCACAAGGCCATATATATATAACCAACGAATGTAACATGCACGTCTGTTTTTTCTTTCATAATTGAATACTTTTTTTTTATCAAGTGTCCATACATCTAATACACTGCCATCTAATTCAGCTACTATTTTCTAAACGACAGGAAAACAAAATTTATTTATTCAAATTGTTCTACTCCCTCCGTTATAAGATGATTTGGTTGATTACACGAAGATTAAGATATTTATATTTTCTAAAAAGTATTTTTAATGATATATTTTTAAATTTTTCAACCAATTATAAAAAAACTAGAAAATTTTATTAGTTGAACAGTTTCTAATAAATTTAAAGTTAACATTAAAACTTCAAAACATACCTTAAAATTTCAAAACATCTTATATTTTGAAACAACATAAATCTTCTAAAAAGTCTTATAAAAAGAAAGGGAAGGAGTAATATTATTTAACATTTAAACCAAAAAATGTTCTAATATGTGTGCAAGATATTTGATATTGTATTTAGTTTCTCTAATGACGCATAACAACTATCAAGTGAATGCATGCTGATTAATTAAGTCTGTAAAATATATATATATATATATATTTTTTTTTGTTTGTCACTGGTCTGTAAAATATATAATATCCGGAAAAAAATTGTAGACAAAAACAGGTCTCAGTATTAATTAAACGTCATTTTCACGAAACCACGTTTGATCTCATGATTTACACGTAACTGGAAATACTCAGATGCTAAATAGGATATCTTTATAAAATTCTGTTTTAGAAAGACGTGTTGCAGTGGATTGTACTCGTGTGGTTAAAAGCATAACTTCCATTATGGAAGCATCCTTTATTTTAGCACGATTCATTCGTGTGCATGTATGTATGCATCTTAAAACTGAAAGATAAGGTTGCGTCGAGTTAATTAATATATACAGAAAACAATTGGATATTTCTCCTAATTTCCTGAAAACAACTTGCATTTTTATTTTGTTTTAGCTTTTCGAAATCGAGATGTTTCCGGAGGACCGTGGATATGTTGGGAATCGTGTTCTTCGAGGGAGTATTAACTCTTGATGTTGATTGATGTAACTGAAACCTAAAATCATAACATGAGTCTGGCCAAACCCAAACACTCACACAGAAAAAAAAAAGAGTAGAAGACGAACAAATGCTTTTGTTTAAAATTCAACTCTTCCAACTCCCACACGCCGTTATATTGAAGCTTTGCTCACTGTTTTTAACACCCAAGTACGAACAATTGCCGAAAAGGGTAAAACAAATAGCAACTTAAAAATATTACAGATTACTACTTTTAATAAATTATTTATCTCCAACTCCAGTATTTTAAAAGCTACCAAAATGTTGCGTAAATATTTTTAAATGAATAAAGTACAATAGTGGGAAAAGAGAAATCTATAACATTATTTGAGAAGTAAATTTCCTTAGTTGTCAACTTCTCCATGATTTTAGGTTATTTACTTATTTTCATGTTTTAATAATTTATTATATAATAAAAACGAATTTATGTTAATAATATTA